CATGTTCACTGGTTTATTTGTAAACGGATTAAAATTGCTTATGTATTCGTTCCAGTGATTAAGCATCCATTCATTCATTGATTTAACACAAGTGTTCCTGGACTGATTCTGGCTGGGGACTGACCTGCAAACGTGGATCCCTGAGCCCTGAGTCACCTTCTCTAACTTCTTCACGCTAATTAAGATCTCTAACTAGACTGTGTAATTGGATCTTTGGGACATCCTCCCTGAAGCACCCCAAAGTTTGTAAGCGGGGTACATTTCCTTTCCTCGCTCTCGGTTGCCTTGGGGATTGCGCCATCTCTCGGGACACAGGGCACTTTGAATGGCGCCACCTCCATTTGACCCACCCGCTCCCTAGAAGACTGTTGATCAGGATGGCACTGAGATCTGCCCAGAATGGGGAGCCCCTCCTGCTCACAGAAAATCACTGAGACCCGTTCATCCCTGAGCCCACAAGAATGTGCTAGTTCCTCCTACTTCAGAGAGTCCTGCTGGGTCCTGAGTCCTTAAAATAATTCTTCCAAATCCTAAATGTGCCACTTGATTTTATCAAGTTGAAAACTCTTCATGAATTCCACAAAAACCTGGGCGTGTTTCCAAGATTTGGAAAGTCAGGCAGGAGTAAAACTTCTTCCAGGGAGCCAGAGCACAGATCAGGAGGAGGCTGAAGGTAGGTGAGATCGGATTCGTAGATAGAAGGAAGGGAGAGCCCTGAGGAATCGCTGGGGCCCCGGCTTCCCCCTCTAATTCACTGTGCTACTTCCCATCTCTGGGACTCAGTTTCCCCAAGTTTAAGGGACCAGCTGACGTGAGAGCCCCTTCCAAGTTCTGCAAGAGCGTCCCCTAGACTGCAAGCAGTCCATAATTGGCCAGTTGCCCATTCCATTTTCCTTAGTCCTAGGGAGCTGCAGGAAGATAGCAAGAAGTTACTTAGAGCCACATCTTGGCCTTCAGAACTTAAGAGAGGAGGGGGAAAGAGATGGCATCACTGTGGGCTGGCAGGGGTGGCAGCTGGCAAGAATTGGGAGACATGGCTGTCACCCTGAGCTACGGCACAAGGGAACACATGGGACATGAAGGGGGAAGCCCAGTCTGGCTCAGAGGGAAAGGAAGGCTCACTTTGTGAACTGGGTCTTAGGGGGAGCAGGTCAGGAGAAAGGACAGAAAGGGCACTGTGGGCTCCACAGACAAAGATGTCTGCCCTGTGTCCCCCTCCTCCTTTCCCCAGCTGTAGGAGAAAAGTCAGAGCCAGAGAGACTCGTCTTCGGCAAGCAAGCTAGGAAGCAGACAGGACACACAATCAGTTTTGTCAACTTGTCCCAGGCTTCTTCCTACTGACTCCACTGAAACCCCTGCCAAGTTGTGGTCTCCTGCCTAGCTCAGTAAAGCACTTTGGCTATGGGTCCAGGAGTCTGGAAGTCCTGGTGTGTGTGTGTGTGTGTGTGTGTGTGTGTGTGTGTGTGAGAGAGAGAGAGAGAGAGAGAGAGAGGGGGTGAGAGACAGAGACAGAGAGAGACAGAGACAGAGACAGAGAAAGACAGAGACAGAGAGACAGAGAGAGAGACCTATGTAATACACTCATGTGAATATGTGAATGGTCACATTTACACACATGAACCTATGTGTAGGATGAGCACTCACAGGTGCATATGTACCAGTGTGTAAGACAGATGTTTGTGCATCCACCTGAATGTGTGCACAGGAGACGACCCCATGTGGGTGTGTCTATTCCAGCACAGAGCCCAAGGCCTCGGGGGCCGATGCTTCCTAGTGACTGAAGTGGTAAATCACCGTGGAACACAACCACACAAAGAGGAGGCCATGGCTGGCTTGCTCCAGTCACCGGAGCTCCCAGGAAAAGGCAGGACCATCTCTGTGCCAGTGCGCGTGTCTGATGGCACCCTGCTAGAAGAGATGCCCATCAAACGCCCAGCCTCAGAGCGTCTCTACTAAACTTTCGTGAGGAGCTCACAGCTCATACTCCTGCTGCGTCCATGGTGATGTGAACACAGTCGGGCTGAGACCAGAACTTCTTCCCGAGGCCCTAGGATTAGGTCAGAGCTCTCCTGGCTGCAGAATGTGACCCCTGATGGCCCCAGAGGTGGAGCTCAGTGCAGGCTAAGCTCTGGGCTCTGTGTTAACAGTGAATAGGAAGAAGGAATAGTCACTGACTGGGGCCACCTAGCCTTGACAGGAGGTATGGCGGAGGCCCAAGAGGCCCTTCAGGTGCCCCATTATCAAAAAGAAGTTTGTAAGCCTCTTAGGGCAGATAGAGGAGGGGCAGCCAGGCATGGGAGAGTGGAGACCCTCACCTGGGGAAGGTTTGGAGTCAGTGCCTAGCCTATGTCCTCACTTGTTCCCCTAACGCCTAGCACAGTGTTTGGTGTATAGCACATCCTATGTCACTCCTTGCTTTGGGAAAGAATAAATAAGGAGCAAGTTAATGGAGGGGACAGTCTCTAGGAGGAGTGTCAGAGAGGAGCTGGATTTTGGCGCTATGTTCCATGTTTTGGTGACATCATCCCATGTACCCTGACACATGGAGGAGGGGTTAAAATCTGCTTTTTTTTCTTTTTTCTTTTTTCTGGCATGAGGATTATGTGGAGGAAGCAGGAAATGTCCAGCTAGGACAGCAGGTGAATGAGTTTGCTGGAAACAAATGTCTGTTCCATATGGTGAGGGGTTACAATGCTAGGAAGATGCTCCTGGAAGCTCACCCCCCTGGCAGCCACTGTGTGAGCTCAGTTTTCCCATCTGCTACAAGAGAGCTTCCCGGTGAACTGGTCAGGGCACTTCCTATGCTGTGTAATAACCTTGGAGGTAAGGAAGCCAAAACATCCTTTGCTCTGGCTGGGAGAAAATAAGACTGGGGACCGGGTCTCAGGGTCCCTTGACTTTTCAACAGGGAGTGCGCAAAGAGGCAACTTCTAAAGCTTCAGCCCCCACAAAGCTGCTGAAAGAGCGTCTCTGTGGGGGTGGGGCGGGCCCGCTCACAGGGTTAGAGCCAGCAGCCACCCACCCACCCAAGACACAAAGCATAGAGTGTGGAGACCAGAGCCGGTCTGAAGAGACAAGTCAGACTACCGCAGGTCTGAAGAGACAAGTCAGACTACCGCAGGTCTGAAGAGACAAGTCAGACTACCGCAGGTCTGAAGAGACAAGTCAGACTACCGCAAGTCTGAAGAGACAAGTCAGACTACCGCAGGTCTGAAGAGACAAGTCAGACTACTGCAGGTCTGAAGAGACAAGTCAGACTACTGCAGGTCTGAAGAGACAAGTCAGACTACTGCAGGTCTGAAGAGACAAGTCAGACTACCGCAGGTCTGAAGAGACAAGTCGGACTACTGCAGGTCTGAAGAGACAAGTCAGACTACCGCAGGTCTGAAGAGACAAATCAGACTACTGCAGGTCTGAAGAGACAAGTCAGACTACTGCAGGTCTGAAGAGACAAGTCAGACTACCGCAGGTCTGAAGAGACAAATCAGACTACTGCAGGTCTGAAGAGACAAGTCAGACTACCGCAGGTCTGAAGAGACAAGTCAGACTACCGCAGGTCTGAAGAGACAAGTCAGACTACCGCAAGTCTGAAGAGACAAGTCAGACTACTGCAGGTCTGAAGAGACAAGTCAGACTACCGCAGGTCTGAAGAGACAAGTCAGACTACTGCAGGTCTGAAGAGACAAGTCAGACTACCGCAGGTCTGAAGAGACAAGTCAGACTACCGCAGGTCTGAAGAGACAAGTCAGACTACCGCAGGTCTGAAGAGACAAGTCAGACTACTGCAGGTCTGAAGAGACAAGTCAGACTACTGCCGGTCTGAAGAGACAAGTCAGACTACCGCAGGTCTGAAGAGACAAGTCAGACTACTGCAGGTCTGAAGAGACAAGTCAGACTACCGCAAGTCTGAAGAGACAAGTCAGACTACTGCAGGTCTGAAGAGACAAGTCAGACTACCGCAGGTCTGAAGAGACAAGTCAGACTACCGCAAGTCTGAAGAGACAAGTCAGACTACTGCAGGTCTGAAGAGACAAGTCAGACTACTGCAGGTCTGAAGAGACAAGTCAGACTACTGCAGGTCTGAAGAGACAAGTCAGACTACCGCAGGTCTGAAGAGACAAGTCAGACTACCGCAGGTCTGAAGAGACAAGTCAGACTACCGCAGGTCTGAAGAGACAAGTCAGACTACCGCAGGTCTGAAGAGACAAGTCAGACTACCGTAGGTCTGAAGAGACAAGTCAGACTACCGCAGGTCTGAAGAGACAAGTCAGACTACCGCAGGTCTGAAGAGACAAGTCAGACTACCGCAGGTCTGAAGAGACAAGTCAGACTACTGCGGCTGAGGGATGAATGGGGACGGGATGTTCTAGATAGTGGGAACAGGTAAGCAATGGCTCAGAGGCTGCCACAAAGCCAGGAGAACCTTCAGAGATGTTCATGCCTAGGCAAGTAGGGCAGCAGCAACACACAGAAACCCTAAGCCAGAAACTCTGGAAGGAAAATGAGCTGTGTTTTGACAGCCTTCCAAGAAAGTCCAGGGTGTGTTCAAGTTTGAGGACCTCCGACTCAGCTTATCGGCTCCCAAACTCTGTCCATAGATCACTTGTCTGTGGTACTTTAAGGGGTAAAAGGGGGTTTAGGCTCAGATAACTTTGGGAGCACATAATCTCCACTGTTTTTGGAGAGCCACCAATAAACATTAAAAATAAAGACTTTGACGAGTCCTACAGTAAAGACCTATATTTCTCACTCAGCATTGGCTCACAGAGATTCTTCAGACTGCCCATTCGTACTTCTGTGAACACCCCGTTAGGGGAACACCACTCTAAGCCATGCTCACTTTTCACGTGAAGGCACCGAAGCCTACAGATGGTGAGGAAACTGTCCCAAGGTCCCAGAAAGTGTGTCCAAGCCGGAAAAGACCTTAACAATCTCTGTGGTCCACCACCCTGCACCCTAGATCCTTCCTCCCACCGCACATCCAGCCAGAGCCCGGCAGTATGGAGCCCAGCAACAGGACAGCAGCCTCTGAGTTCATCTTGAAGGGCTTTTCTGGCTACCCGGCCCTGGAGCACCTACTCTTTCCTCTGTGCTCAGCTATGTACCTGGTGACCCTGCTGGGGAACACTGCCATCGTGGCGGTGAGCATGTTGGATGCCCGCTTACACACGCCCATGTACTTTTTTCTGGGTAATCTTTCAGTTTTGGACATCTGCTACACGTCTACTTTTGTTCCCCTGATGCTGGTCCACCTCCTGTCACCCCGGAAGACCATCTCCTTTACCGGCTGTGCCATCCAGATGTGTCTGAGCCTTTCCACAGGCTCCACAGAGTGCCTGCTGCTTGCCATCATGGCCTACGACCGCTACCTGGCCATCTGCCAGCCACTCAGGTACCCTGTGCTCATGAGTCACAGGCTCTGCCTGATGTTGGCAGGAGCTTCCTGGGCACTCTGCCTCTTCAAGTCGGTGGCAGAGACAGTCATTGCCATGAGGCTGCCTTTCTGTGGCCACCGTGTGATCAGACACTTCACCTGCGAGATCCTGGCTGTGCTGAAGCTGGCCTGTGGTGACACCTCAGTCAGCGATGCCTTCCTGCTGGTGGGAGCCATCCTCCTCCTGCCTGTACCCCTGAGCCTCATCTGCCTGTCCTACATGCTGATCCTGGCCACCATCCTGAGGGTGCCCTCGGCCACAGGGCGCCGCAAAGCCTTCTCCACCTGCTCTGCACACCTGGCCGTGGTGCTGCTTTTCTACAGCACCATCATCTTCATGTACATGAAGCCCAAGAGCAAGGAGGCCCGAGTCTCGGACCAGGTCTTCACAGTCCTCTACGCTGTGGTCACCCCCATGCTGAACCCCATCATCTACAGCCTGAGGAACAAGGAGGTGAAGGAGGCGGCCAGGAAAGTCTGGGGCAGTAGATGGGCCTGCAGGTGAGGGGGGCAGGGCTCTACGCGGGTAGGGCTCTTGGCTTGCTGTGTGGGTCACCATATGCCAATACTACTGTAGGGCAGAGCACAGAACTATGGGGACGTCCACTCCAGAGACACAGCACCAAGTCTCACTAACCCTGACACAGAATGACTCATCTTCTGCTCCTTCCCTGTTCTAGTGCCCAGCGTCTGTCCCTGGGCCTCCACGGTAGCCTCTGGGCTGATCTCAAGACTTCAGCCTTGGCTAGGTGCCACGTGCGGCTCACACCTTATAACATAGCATTTGTGAGGATGAGGCAAGAGGGTAAATTTGATGTCAGCCTGTGCTACATAGTAAGACCCAGTCTTGAATAAATAGATACTAGTCATTAGAATTGTCCTCTTGAGTCTCTCCTCGGTGGGGCGCTGGGGGGAGGGGCGTTTTAAGAACCACTTAAGATTGCATCACTCCCCTGAGTGACACCCATAAATGGCTCCTCGCTGCTCTCAAGATGAGGCAGATGCTCTTCAGCCGGCCCTCGCAGCTGCCTGCCTGCCTAGCTCCCAGCTTTCTCCCCACACCCTCATAGAGCAGCAGCCAAATGTGAGCCTCGCCCTTCCCTACGCTGCCTGCTCCAAGCTCTTCTTGTGTTCTTCCTGGGAGGCCGCTCTTTGTAGCACACACCCCGTGTGCAGGTGGACTTCCTGCCCTTCATGCTCACGCCCATTTGCTCCTCTCATTACGTCCCTCCTGTGTCCTTGGTTTCCAATATTACACCAGGAGCGGGGGACATCACAACCTACTCTGTCCCAACATCCAGCCTGGCTCAACTCCAGGCCCTGAACACCTTTACGAAGTACATAAACGAACATGAGAATGTAGAGACACTCCTGACAGCATAGGGTCCTTCCCAAATCTGAACAGAGCTGGGATGACACCCATAGAGATTAGGCATGCCTAGTCCCCTGGGAGACGACAGGAGAGGCAGAAGTTAGGTCTGAAAGTCTGGACGAGAGTCCAGACCTGTCTGGTCACAGGACACCAACCACCAAGAGCAACCGTAAGTTGGGGTTCCTCTCCAACCCCACACAACAGCAGCTGCAGTTTCCAGTGTCCCTGCCTCATCTGAGGGTGCTTGCTTGAACCTCATCACCTCATCCCTCAGGCCTCCATAGCTGTCCCTGCTGGCGCTCAGCCTCCCCACAGTTTCCCTTTCTGAGCGCTTACGAGCACGTGAAGTTGCACAGTCACTGAGGACATCCATCCCCACACGCTCTGGCCTCAGTGGCAGGCATCGCCTGCACCGTAGTGAGCCAGGCTGGACCTCCAAGCAGCAGTCCGGGCCTCCTGCTAGCTGGCTGCAGGCCACCACAGCCCCACACGAGCCCTCTGTTCCCCTATTGGGCCTGCCTCCTTCCTCTGGGACTCTCAGTGAGCCAGGCTAAAAGGAGAGAGGAAATTAAGGAACAGGGCAAGGGACAGAAGCCGCTCCCCCTGGGATCTAGATTGCTTGTCTGGCTGGCCAAGAGTCAAGAAATTTCAACACAAGTGATGAAACCCAAACTGCCTGTAGAGGCGGTACAGGCGGTACTCACTTTCCTGAAGACGTTTCAAACCCAGTGTTCAAAACAATCAAGCGCTCAAACTGGGCACTGGTGGTGCAGTCTTTAATCCCAGAACTCACTCAGGAGGCAGAGGCAGGCGGATCTCTGAGAGTTTAAGGACAGCCTGGTCTACAAATCAAGTTCCAGGACAGCCAGAGAGAGCAATTACATGGAGAAAACCTGTCTTGGGGGGAAAAACACAGAACTATCAAGAACTCTGCTTACTCAGGGCCAGAATGTCTGTGCCTTGAGTTTAACTATGTTAGCATTCCTTTCTCATCTCTACATCTAAATAATGCATCTTACAATTTCATTTGCAAAGGAAATACTTGAGGATGAGAAATTAGCTGGAAGGATGGTCCAGCACTTATTGTTCTTACAGAGGATCCACACACACATTGCGGCTCACAACTGTCTGTAACTCCAGGGGATCCGATGCCCTTTTCTGGCCTCCAGGGACACTGCACACATGTGGTGCACCGACAGACAAGCAGGCAGACATTCATATACATGAAACAAAAATAAATACATTTTTAAATAATATACTACTTTCAAGTTTTGCTTAATCTTCAAGTTTTATAAATTACATTTTTTGAGACAAAGTCTTATGTAGTAGCCCTTGGCTGAGCTAGAACTCACTATGAAGACCAGGCTGGCTTCAGATTCAGTTATCTGCCTGCGTCTGCCTCCTGAGTGCTGGCATATACCACTAGACCCAGCTATAAGTTAAACTTTGTAAGGAATGTGACAAAAGTTTCTGTATCCAATGTAAAGACATCTAAGCAGTTGCCTCTCTCTCTCTGTCTCTCTCTGTCTCTGTCTCTGTCTCTCTGTCTCTCTGTCTCTCTGTTTCTCTGTCTCTCTGTCTCTGTCTCTGTCTCTCTCTCTAATAGGTGCTCACCTTAATTGTACATCTTTTTTCCTGTGGTGTAGCCAAGGATTCAGTTTTACCCAAGCAGAGGTTCCTATGCAGGGAGCTCCTCAAGCCACTGATAGCAATGCTGGGCTGCATCTCCCCACTGAAGCTGACCAAAGGGGAAGCCGCCACTGCTCCTGGGCACCTTCTGGACATGCACGAGTGGGGGCTGGCAACAGTCAGGCCATGCTACCGTTAATTCGGTTTCTGACAGGATACCATCCTCCCTCACACACTCAGTGAATCAGCTTTTCCTCCTCTTGGGCCTATTGTTAAATGAGTGGGAGGCGGTAATAAATCAATATGGGCCTCACACATACAGAAGTGGGAAGATGAACCAGGGACCGTAAAAACTTCAGATCTTTTAATCCTACACTGCCATGTCTAGGAATCTAGCTTAAGAAAAAAATGAAGGGCACATAAGGGCAGCGTGCTACACGCCCGTAATCTTAGCATTTAGGAGATAGAGACAGAAAGGTCAGAAGTCAAAGGTACTCATCAACCTCATAGCAAGCTTGAGATCATCCTGGGCCACATGAGATGCCCCCCCACACACATGCAGGCACACACACGCGCACACACACACACGCACACACACGCACACACGCACGCACATAGGGCAAGTCAAAGATTTACACATAACAATATTAATTACAGCACAAAACACTAATCCACAGTACAAAAAAATTGCAATCTTGATGTCCAATGGAGTCAATGGTCAAATGCAACACAGACCCAAGAAAACATTTTTTGAGAAAAACCAGATGATAGGAAATTATCAAAATGTAATCAACAGGAGGGGGAAAAGCAGATCAGGAAACATTGCATTCAGTGTCTCCCTAATCTTAATTTTTAATTAGCTGTCGCATGGATATATGATTAAATCTGTAGAAAATTCTGGGAAGCTGTGATGAGATGTTAATGACAGTTGCTTCCTCTCCGAGCAACGGGTGGGGTTGCAGGGAACTGCTGTGTTCTCGTCACATTTTCCATACTGCTCAGTATTTCTAAATAAATATGACCTTGGGCCTGAGAAATGATGATATTCTTTTAAAGAAGTGGGAGTCCACCTTGTTCCAGAGCAGATGGGCTCTGGTGGGGCAGAGGTTAGGGAGCTGGCGATGCAGCCTCGGCCATGTGGGCAGAGAGGAGGAAGACGGAACATAAAACTGGGACTGTTGACAGGCATGGGTAAAATAGCTGGAGTTGTGATTTGCCTGTACTGTTTGGCATTGCAGAAGTAGGTAAGGAGGAGGAAGACTGTGGGATTCAGGGGACTTTGGGGATGGATAGAGATGCTACCACCATCTACTATGGTGCAGAAAACAAGTGTGGGAGGGATGCTGAGGAGACACTGGTCCTGGTCTCAGACTTGTTGGATTCAAGTGTCTCCCAGGCAGCAAACAGGCCTAGACCATTCCAGAGGCAGATAGAAAATCAGAGCTAATCATTACTTTGTGCTCCTGATAAAATTCCAGAAGACAAATAATGGCATATAGTATGAGAAATTATAAATTCTATTGTCTGAATTACAGCTGTATTTTAGCATCTAAATTGTGAATAGTATCTTTATTGTAAAAGGCCAGGAAGGGAAGAGGAGCACCTGTAAAAACTCACAAGCCGGAAGTGAGCATTTAAAACACCCCTTACATGCATCTGGGGGTCTCATACCCTCACCCCAGTAAGTAGCCTTCCTCAAAGCTGGGTGGATGGAGGGAGGGACCTAAGGCCACACAGCAATCTTGGAAGGAGATAACTCATTTTCCAGTGCAGGCGCCCAGGCCTAGTAAAGGACCACTCCTGACCCAGAGCCTGCGGAGTACAACAAGGCACAGCCTTCTCTGTCCACCTCACACCAGCAGAGACCTCCTGAGACAGGGCAAGGAACCTGGAGTCCCAGGAGCCTGAGTCCCTCAGCTGGCAAACCCGAAAGTTTGTGAGCTTGTAGAGTTGAACTTTAAATTGGGTAGGGACCTGTGGTCCCTGAAAAGGGAGCAGGCGGGCTGTGTAGCAGGGGACCAGGACGCTAATCCTTGGGGCCCTCAGCCCGACCCACCTTAGCACATTACACCTGCTAGTTATGAACTCAGGACTACGCCACCATCTCCCGCAAGCATCTGGTCAGCTAGCATGGCTCCAGACTCCTACCTAGTCTTCTGTCACTGCAGCAGGAATTCCTCTGGCATGCTATTTTCAGTAACTCTTCTTCAAGACATTTCAAAGCTAAAGCACTTATTACATGACACTAATAATATCCGCATTCACTGAATATTTACCACGAGCCAGGCCCTGTATGAACAGCTTTGCTGCATCCCAACGCAACCCTAGTATCTCACCATTTGCAAGGAAACACCAGCATCTCAATGACAGGTAAGGAAACTGAGGCTCAGAAACGGTTAGCAAACAGAGGTAGAGGCAGGAGGACAACCATGAGTTTAAGACCAGCCTGGTCTATATAGCAAGTTCCAGACCAGTCAATAGCACTGTCTCAAACAAATGAACACACACACACACACACACACACGCACACGCACATGCGCGCACACGCGCACACGCGCACACGGACACGTTGGAGCAAGAGGCGACATGTTAGCAATCGGCAAAGCTGGGTGTGACCGGACAGCCTGATTCCAGGGCCCCTCTCACTACCCTCTCACATAGTGGTGGTGGCAGAATTAGTGGTGCAAAAACCCCACCTCCCGGCACTTTGAAGAATGGGGCCTTTCTATTTACTATGCCCTTCCTTTCTATGGAAATAGTTTTTGAAACCTGAATTTTTAGGAATTAAGCGGTTACCATTAGGTTCACCAGCAATGAAACTTATGTGATATTTACCTTGCAAAGTAACACTAGTCTGCCAAGCCTCAGGGTTAGGGGTTTCTGGAACAATGTGAGGGGCTGTTTGGGAGATTAGAGTACCCGAGATCACCTAATTGAATGACTCCGTTTCTGAGTTGGAGGAACCTGGCCAGGGTCACTCAGCAGAACAGAACAGAAGACAGCTCACACCCAGGTCTCCCCCTTTACATTCCAGGACCCAGCCGTGCTGTCTTACGCCTCAGTGGGCTGTCAGACGGTAGAATGGAAGGAGAGGCGTGGCTCTTGGAGACACTCAGTGTCACATAGCTCTTTGAATATGGTGTGTTTCTGGGACATAACAGTGGGTGACATCTAGACAGATGCTAAAATCACTTTTAAAAATTCTGGCCTTGTGTTCTCCATGTAACCCAAGCCAGCTTCAAACCTACAATTCTCATGCCTTGGTGTCGTTTGTGGTATTATGGGCATGTACCACCATGCCCCATTTAGAATGGATTTGTGTGTGCCGACATGCCAAGGTGCCCAAATGCAGTGCTGGTGCTCAGTAACCGATTTTCTTCCTTCACAGGCCCAGTGGTTTGTGGGCAGATGTACGTACAGTGTGCCGGACTTCTGGGTGATGTGCCCATTAGCCCTCTGAGATCCGCGGTATACGTGTATTGAGACATGTGTGTCATGTTAAGCTAGCTAAAGCTATGAGGTTGTGTTACTGCAGCATAGCCCAGCACATCCTGACTGTTGGCCCTGGTGTCCCATCATGTGCCCAGTTGTGAGTCAAAGCCACTGGTTGCCTGGCACCATGGTATTTTCTCCACTTAGATTGGACTAGTTCTCAGCCCTATGTCACGAGCAGGACCCTTACGCTGCGATGGAACCCATCATATCTCTGATGTGGTCCCCAAGAAAAAGCAGCTGTCCCCTAGGGAGAACACTGCCACTCCCCAACATTTCCTCTAGCAAACCTCAGCAGCTACATCTTTCTAGTGGAGGGGGAGGGGTGTTCCTAGTAGAGATCAGTATCTGGGGCATAGCTTAGCAGTCATCTCAACACATAGTTCAGTTGGAGTGGCAGTCACTGGTCATCTTGGAAACAGGACACTGGAGAGTGACAGTGACAACGTGGATACATCCCTTTCACTTTAATAACTCGCTATTCAATAATCTAGTCAGAGAGGAGCGTGGGGAGTGTGGGAAAAGCACCATAACACAATTCAGAGTGAAATGCATCTGCCAACAACCAGGTAAACACCCTGTTATCCGTCAGGGTGTCCAGAGTCATGTGAGGCGACCACACAGAGACAGTGTGCAACTGAGAAGTGCCAGTCCAGTCCACGAACCTCTCCCAGGGAGGGGGAGGAGCCTGGAGCTGAGGGCGCTGTCTCATGATGGACGTGCTCTAACAAGACAGAAGCAAGTGTAGAAGGATGCGGTTCACGAGGCAGGAAAATAGAGCGGTGTGCTCACAAACACCTCGAGCTCCTCTGCCGTTCCCACTTGGTATTTTTGTGAGAGTTCCCTGATTTACAGCTGTCAGGAGCTGAGCTGAACAAGGGCTTTTTGTGATCACACACCCCACGACGACTAAGCTAGCTAGTCTTTTCAGGGTCAGTTTCTTCATGTCTTAGACTCTCGAGGGTCTAAGACCTGGAGGGAGGGAGGGCTGTGCCCCAGGTCACCAAGAGCAAGAGTGTGGAGTTTTAAACTTCAGGGGAGCAGGAGCAGTCTGCTGCTTTCGCAGCACAGCTCAGGCGCACAGACTTGCAGAGCCAGGTTAAGCCCGTGACCAGCAGCCGTTCTACCGAGGTGCGCACGCCCTGGCGCTTCCCTTTCAAAGTCAAGAGATTGTCCTGCAACTCCTAGAGGGAGGTGCCCAGCAATCCAATTTACACATCCTGGGGGGTGACAGCACCCATCCATCACATACCTTCCCGGGCTCATCTTGCCTCTGTCAAGGGAGCTGGGCAGTAACTATGACAGGTGTGAATTTTTTTTCTTCCCACTCTCTTTTTGGAACCACAGCATCTGAAACAATACCTAGCACAGAGTAGGTATCTCAGAAATACCCAGGGAACGAATGAAGCTGAAATGCTATGGACACCGTTGTCATATGAAGTAATCTGAAAAAGAGCTTCCTTTGAACAGTCAAGGACACTTGACCAGCTGGGTATGGTTGTACTTGCCTTTGATGTCAACACTCAGGATGCCAGGCTAGGGGGAACCTATCTCAAAAAAAAAATCACTTACATTCCAAAAGAAGATGTCAAACTTGAGTCTCCTGTCTCCTCTGAACATCACTTGTGGAGAACAGGGAGGAGTTTCGGGGACCAGAGTGTCCCACCTTCTCCCCTGGCTATCTCAGTAGCATGGCAGCTGAGAGGACCAGCTGCAGGTCTAAAGCCCATCTCTCTCTTTCTACAGATGGTGGAACTAAATTCCAGAGAGAGGCTGAAATGCTGCGGATCCCACGCCCATCCCACTCATTTCCCAGTCAGCCAGAGCTGTGTGGTCCAGGTGGCAAGAGGAGGAAAGAGATGAATTGGGCAAACCACACAGCTGTGACAGAGTATATCCTACTGGGCCTCCAGGAGCACCATAGCCTAGAGATAGTCCTGTTTGTGCTCTGTCTGGGCATCTACTGCACCACTCTGCTGGGAAACTCCCTCCTCGTGGGGCTGATCGTGCTGGACCCCCGCCTGCACACCCCCATGTACTTCTTCCTCAGCCACCTCTCTCTCATAGACATCTGCGGCACCACTTCCTTCATACCTCTGATGCTAATCAACTTCCTGGATGTCCAGAGGACCATCTCCTTCCCTGGCTGTGCCTTGCAGATGTACATAACCCTGGCACTGGGTGCTACGGAGTGCCTGCTTCTGGCTGTGATGGCTTACGACCGGTATGTGGCTATCTGCCAGCCCCTTCGGTACTCGGAGCTCATGAATGGGCCGCTGTGCGTACGGATGGCGGTAGTAAGCTGGGGGACAGGCTTCGCCAACTCGCTGCTCCATTCCATCCTTGTGTGGCGCCTCCCCTTCTGTGGCCACAATGTCATCAACCATTTCTTCTGTGAGATCTTGGCAGTGCTGAAGCTGGCCTGTGGGGACATCTCTCTCAATGCACTGATATTAATGGTGGCCACAGCTGTCCTGACAATGACCCCGCTGTTGCTCATATGCCTCTCTTACATGTTCATCCTGGCCGCCATCTTTAGGGTACCCTCTACTGCAGGCCGGGCCAAGGCCTTCTCCACCTGCTCTGCCCACCTCACAGTGGTGGTGATTTTCTATGGAACCATATCCTTCATGTACCTCAAACCCAAAGCCAAAGACCCCAGCGTGGATAAGATCATCACACTCTTCTACGGGATTGTGACACCCTCACTAAACCCCTTCATCTATAGTCTGAGGAACATGGAAGTGAGAGCTGCTGTCACAGCCCTGCTGGGGGGCGGTCTACTAGCCAGGAAAATGTCCCACTTTTAACTCCTATCCTGTCAGTCAGCAGAGAGTAAGCTCTGTTGGGGAGATGGCTTTAATCTTTCAGTAAGGTTTGTTTTTCACGTATGGTTCAGGTCTACTAGAGCTTGGCTAGGGTGCTATTCGGCATCAGCCTCCTGGGACTCAGGATTACAAAGCAGTTTCAATCCAGAACACTGCGGGTGACCATGACCAAGGGAAAAGAGGAGCAACGCAGCCTGCGTGGGCTCTTACAGCTTCCACTCAGATTCACCTCATTAGCCCACACATGGCCCAGCCTGGCACCTGCCTGGAAGAAGAGAGAGGGCTCAGAGACCTTTGAAAACCTAATGGCCAGCTCACAAAACTAGAGAGTCAGTTCAAGAGGAAGTAAGACTTAGTTTCCTCTGCCCTGATCTCGCCTTCACAGACCCACACTGGTCTGTGAAGTAAGTTAACTTACTCATGGCAGCTTTGTACCAGGAAACTAGACTATCCAATGTGCTTTCCAGCGTTCCTTCCCATACGGGTTTGGTTAGAGTTGCCCACGGGACAGGTACGGAAACTTGGATGCCAAAATGAGTAACACGCATCCTGCAGGAGCGCTCCTATCACTAACATGCTGAAGCCCATTGGTAGTGGCCCATCTGGTTCAAGCCAGATGCCCTCCCTGAGCTGGGCCAAGTTCTCAGCCTGGGCCAAGCGCAGTTATGTGCCAAACGGTGCCTGCTTCTCCTGCAGGCCGTGTGTATCTTTAAAGCTTGAAGACAGCGAGGGCTGGACGCAGTTTTCATGTGTCTCCTCAGCTCTAATCCACCTTTACTCTCCTCCCCTCATGCCGCGGTCTTAACCGACCACCAGCCAAACAGGCCTGTAAAAGCTTCAGGTCCAGTGCCAAATGCAGAAATCCAGCTTGATGGGTCTAACTACTGCCATGCCTGGGGAAGTCTGATCTTGTACTGACACAATTTTTGTGAAAACGTCTCATACCCTAAAGACTGGACTTTTGGCAGGCCGCTAGTAAAGTACTACTCCTTGGAGATTATTCAAGACCGTATACTTAACCCCCTACCCTACTGTGAACTCAGCTGGCTTCAGTTTTACCTGCCTTTAAGAGAACAATGTAAACCAGTCTTACTAGGCTTGGATTCCTCATGCAATAAGCGTTTCATCCTAACCTAATGCATAGCTTTAATCTTGTTGTGTACTGGTCCATGCCCTTGACTGACCCAGAATTATGTGTATGTTACAGTAATCATTTTCTGCAAATAGCTAACAGGTTGGAAGCAACTTTAAAACAAAAGACCACCATAAAAGTTGAAAGAAGCATGTGTATATAGGTTGGTAACATTTGTGTGGCTTTGTTTACTATCCTGGGTCAGTTGGGAACAGTAAGGTTACTTCCTTTTTATATTTATTTTTTAGGACTTATTATGTATATACTGTGTTCTGTCTGCATTCATCCCTGCAGACAGATGGTTGTGAGCCACCATGTGGTTGCTGGGAATTGAACTCACAACCTCTGGAAGCCCAGCCAGTGTAATTAACCACTGAGCCATCCCTCCAGCCTGTTACTTCCCTTTTAAATCTCTAAGATTTTGGTAAGAATCCCTCATTTTTGCCCTATGCCTGATGTGGGATGTCCTTCTGTATGCTGTGTATATGTGTTGTTTTTATTGGTTGATAAAGCTGATTTAGCCAATGGCCAGGCAGAATAGAGCCAGGTGGGAAATCCAAACAAAGATACAGAGAGAAAGGATGAGGAGTCAGGGAGATGCCATGTAGCTCCAGAGAAGCAAGATGTGAGGTAACGAGCCATGAGTATTGTGGTAAAATATCAACTAAATTGGTAAATTTAAGTGTAAGCTAGTCAGTAATAGGCCTGAGCCATTGGCCAAACAATTATAATTAATATTAAGCCTCTTAGTGTTTATTTGGGAACTGGCAGGCGGGAGACAAACCTCCATTTATTTACATATGGTACCCAACGTGGAGCACAAACCCACAACCCTGAGATTAAGAGTCTCATGATCTACCAACTGAGCTAGCCAGGCTTTTATTGTCTGTGCTGTTCTATAAAATATAGTTCAAAGCCAGTCAGAGATCAGACAGACACAGGGACAGGCATACATTCAGACACAGAACAGATAGGAAACAAGGACATCTCTCTCTCTCTCTCTCTCTCTCTCTCTCTCTCTCACACACACACACACACACACATGCACACACTAGAAAAACTATAGATATGCCAATAACTACAAACTACAGAGAGAAGACACGAGAAGACAAGTGAAGATTTCAAATTTTGGCTCATTGTTGATCAAATTAATCCAAGAGAGTAGAGCATGGTGGTGCACTCCTTTAATACCAGCACTGGGGAAGAAGAGGCAGGCAGATCTCTGCGGGTTTGAGGTCATCCTGGTCTATATAGTGAGTTTCAGGCCAGCCAGAGCTCCACAGTGAGACCCTATCTCAAAAAATAAGAAAAAAATTAAATCAAGAGAAAGTGTTTTGTTTCCATTCCTTAATGCAGCATTGACACACTTAGCGTTCTCTGGGGTTATGTCTAGTGTGTTAACTCCCCATGATCTCACAATAAACTCCTGGAATCATCTTTCACACCTCCTACTGTCACAGCATTAAGTCTGAAGTTCTTTGGCTGAGTCCTCAAGGCCCTTAGGAGTCTGGACCACACGCAGCGTTACTTCCCCCCTCCACGTGGGTCAGCCTGTCCCAGCCTGAGGTCTTTGCTCATGCTATCCATGAATCACACCACGATCAAGTTGTCAAGTCATTTTAAACATTATCTTCGTCACGCATTCTTTCTTGGTGCATTTGAAGGCTGTCTTCTTCATATCCTACAGCACTTTGTTGGGACTCTTCATTGGGATCCATCCAATCCTTACCAATATGAGAGCTCCTTTGGGGCCAGGTGCCACCAACTCTGACTCCTCCCCATAGCTCTATCGGCTTTTCTTACGTGACTGTGGAACTGAATTGCCACATGGATGTTCTCACGTCACCACCAGGTAACACTGAGCCCATGTTACTAAGCATACTCCAAACAGTAGTAGGCGGGCAGGGAACTCAGTGTAGTTGCATGTACAGATACATGCAAGAAAGCAGTAGTAGCTGCTGGCCACAGCCATGTGTCCAAGGCAGGCCAGGCTTGCTGGATCTTAGATTCTCCCAATGACTCAAGTCAGCAAACAACTCAGGGTTGTAGGCCTGACTCAGCTGCACTGCCCAGTCTTGTCTTAATGCTGTCTCCCCCAGTACTCGAACAAACACCTCAAATCCAAAATGTCCCAAACTGTACTCATCATCCCCAATCACAAGTGTCACCATAGCAGAGAATGGCACCATCACCCAAGTCAAAAAGATGGAGGTCATCCTGGGCTTTCATACCCCACCATACCAGGCATTGAGTGCTCTGATGTCTGCCGCCTGCAGCTCTCAGGCAGGTCCCCTCCCTCTACCGGTACCTTATAAAGAAGCCCTCCCTGTCTCCCTTTCAGTTAGTGTAGCAGCTTTGTCACTGCGCTTCCCCAGACACGCCCTCCACACCAGCCATCAAAACGGCCTCTTCATGCTACTCTGCTACCTAAGCATTTCCAGGAGATCCTCATTTCCCTTTTCCCATAGGGTAAAGGCCACACTACCCATCTGTCCAAAGCACCGTGAGCTGCTGGCCTTCATCACACACACCCACGCACACACACATACACACACACACACACACATAAACACACACACCTCTCCAGGCCCACTTCACTCTTTACAGCTCCTGAAATATCAGTCTTTCCTGCTCTGTCACTCCCCATCACTGTAACCCTTTCCCAACACGCTGTGACCTTTGTCTGTCATATGTGCAACAGGCTGGGCACATATCAAGTGTCCTAAGCTCTTCAGTGACTGGGGACCAGACAGAAGGAGTATCTCAGGAAAGGAGTAAAAGATGGGCACTGAGAACTACAACATCTTGGCATTATGGCAACCCCAGTCCCCTCCTCTTCATTGCCTTCTATACTCTCAGTTGAGTGAGTCCTGAGTCCTGGTTATTTGGGTCAACTATCCTCATGGCCTGATTCTGCCTATTCCAGGGTGAGGACAGCTTATCTCCCATCCAAGCACTAACCAGTCCAGCCCTGCTTAGCTTCTTTGATCATCCAAGTTCAGATATGTTCAGGGCAGCATGGTCACAGATAAGGGAAGGAATAGCATTTCTTTTTTAAAAAGTTATTATGTTTAATCATGTGTATGTGTGTTTGTGTCTAGGTGAATGTGTAACACTTGTGTGGAGAGGTACCCATGGAGTCCAGAGGTGTGGTATCCCCAGGAGCTGTAGCTACAAGCATCTTAGCCTGTAACTGGGTACTGGGAATTGAACTCAGTACCTCTGGGAAAGCAATGCATGCTCTTAACTGCTGAACCATCTCTCCAGCCATTTCATTTTATTTTATTTGAGAGGGTCTATGTAACCTTGGTTGGCTTGAACTCATGGCAATTCACCGGCTCTTACCCCTAGAATGTTGGGATTAAAGGCATGCACCACCATACCTGGGCCAGCCCAAGAGCAGCGCTTCTGATACAGGAACGGACACCCAGCCCCTACACTCTCACTGCCTGCCACTCAGCCAGATACTTTATTCCCTACCACGTGCCTCAGGGAAGAGATCTGGTTGCAGAGAGTAAAGAATAACGTGGCATTTTCTAGGCTTTGAGCTTCATGGGCCCAGGCTGTGGAAAGAATAGAAAGGACTTAAGGCACAGAGGAAAGATTTGGTAGAAATGTGAGGTCGTCTCCTGATTGACAAGTGGGAGGGGCGAAGGACGGAAGGAAGTGTGAGCACTGTCCCAGATTCCCTAAAGAAGCCATGAGCACCCTGGCTTCGTCCGTGGGGTTTAAAAGAGAAAACAACTCATCTTTTGCCCCACTAAGTAAAACCCAGCACAGGACCCCCAAGAACTAACTTCAGGCTGTGTCTGGACAGCCCAGTATGAACGCCTCCCATGACACAGACCTGGGGGGCAGAAACTCGAGGCTTAATGCAGACAGAACAAAACACAGCTCAGCATTTAGCAGCATGTCTAGCTGCTGACTGGGAACCAGATAGGATGACAGAGCTCTCAGAAGATGGGTGAAGTATGAAACTGGGGACCAGAAAGAAGTCTTCTAGTATCTCAGCATAAGACAAAATCCTCAAGACCCAGCTATGAGCTCCTGGGAAAAAAAAGAGTCCAGTTGCCAGGCATGATGTCAGTGTCTGTAATTCCAGGACCCAGGGGATCATGATACCCAGACCAGACCAAACTATATACACAGTTACACACACACACACACACACACACACACACACACACACACACACACTTGGTAAGAAATCTCAATTATTTCTGGCATGCAAGAAAAAATGGAATCTTAAAATAGTAGTTCCATTCTTACAATGCCTTATACATTTGAAATCTGTACCTGTTACTCCAATTTCCTGGCACCTTAGCTTCCTTCTCTGCATGTGTAGGAGTCATGGGGATGCCTGTTTTACTAATTCATCTCTGCATATACCCAGCAAGCACACGCACATAGGCGTGCACACACCCCTCTTCACTACTACAGATGAGGATCCTAACAATTGGGAATTGGACATCAGGGAGCTTTTGGCATTAAACACAGGGACCATATGAGAGGGATGCAGAGGGCCAACCTTAGGGCAGAGGTCAGACAGCATCTTCTTCAGGCAGGTCCTGTCACTCTAGCACTTTCCTCCATGGCCCTCCCCTCCATCTCCCCACACCCTGCCCCAGCAGGGAAGAAAAGGCAGCACAGAATCAGTACCTACTTCATTGGAGACATCCCAGACTCCACCTGTATCAGATCAGGACCCCAGCTGCCTAGCCCCGTCCCAGCTGTCTCTCCCAGCCCTCTGTCCAGCCCAGCCCAGCACAGATGTGACCAGTGGTGCTGAGCCTCTAGGAAAATCTGGTGATGTGTTTCTCCAAGATGGACTCCTTTTCCCTCTGATGATTTATTCCTGATGAAAATTTGTCTCCTTGGAAGTATCTCATGTCCGTAGGAGGGCTCCCTATCCCTGGGAAGGGCTCCACACCCCTAGGTGCTCCTTGGTCCTGAGGGGTTCTGTGTCCTGCATAGCTCATCCTTAAGAAGGACTCCATAAGTACAGGAGGACTCTAGGCTCTCAGGAAATTCTCCGTGTCTTGGAAAGGCCTCCTGGTCCCTGAAAAGTCATCCTTGAGAAAGACTGTGTGTCTTTAAGAAACACAACTTGTCCCTTGTTCCTAGAAGGGCTCCACAGCCCCAGGAGGAACCCTAGGCAGGGTTCCTAACCCCTAGGAGCCTGGCCCAAAGCCGCTCTCAGCTGGCACAGATGCTGCTGACAGTGGCCCCTTCTGGGCCCACAAGGCCCAGCTCTTCCTGTTCGTTGATGCACAGCTGGTAACCGCAGCCCCGCGCCCGAGACCCAGATGGGACCCGGCGGTCAGTCTTGGCACGAGGCGGCAGCAAGAAGCCCACACTGCCAGCAATGAGCATATGCCAAATGCTATGAATGTAGAAGTAGTTGTCCCGGGTCTCCACGAAGGCATACAGTAGGACCGCACTGCCTGCAATAAGGCTGCCCGGGCACAGGTAAAAGAGCCAGCGGCGCCATGTTGGCGGGTAACAGTGCCGGCGCCGGACGCTGCGAACTGTCTGGGGGAAGCAGAAAGTGGGATTCAGGAATATGAGGCCTATAATCCAAGCCAGAAATACTTCAGACTTCCCCTCAGCCCTAGGTGTGACCTAAAAGGCACCTGCCAAGACTTGAGTGGTTACTGTGAACAGCAGGTGATGACCTGAAATTGGGGACAGATAGCCAGCGCCCTGTGTCCACTCCTGCTCCCTCCTTTGCCCGTCACATGCCTCTCCACTCTTACCCAGGCTGTGGCCAAGATCCCAAGGGCAAAGAGACTGGGTCCAAGCAGGTTCCAGAGTCCATGCCGGTCAAGCTGCAGAGCCATGGACAGCAGCATAGCCCCTAGCAAATACAACACCTACAGAGACAGGAGTCCAGCGTTGGGCCCGGATGTGGGGCACTGGGGAAGCCCCAGGCATGAGTGGATTTTAAATACAGGCTAGCTATTATTGTCCCCCAGGACCCACTCTGCACTGACCTGCTTGATCACGGGCTGCAAACGAGCCATGGCAATGACGGTGACCCAAACCGACATTAAGGAGCCCAGGAAGTCACAGAACTGAAGCACGTCATAGTCCATGATGCAGAAAACCACAATGCCTGGCTGGTCACAGGCATGGTAGAACTGCAAGAAAAAAACAGCAGGTGTTAAAATCCCTTGAGGCCACAAGTTCGGAGCTATGAAGTCAAAGAAAGATCCTATAGGCCTGTCAGAGAAACAGGCCGGAGGTCACCAGTGAGCAATACCAGGAAACACCAGACTCCTTCATTCTTTTTTTTAAGGTTTTATGCGTAAGGGTATATTGCATGCACGTATGTCTGTGTACACATGCATGCACACTGGAGACACAGAGAATTGTGAGCCACTATATGGGTGCTAGGAATTAAACACCAGTCTCCACGAGCAGTCAATGTTCTTAGCTACCAAGTCATCTCTCCAGCCCTGATTCTTTCATTTTTGAGAAAAACATGGCAGCTAGGTCTGGTCTGCTTTACAGTCAAATATATCTGGCCATTCAGACACTGGTCCTCACCACCATCTCCCTGCTTCTGGGACATGCTCTGAAGAGTATCCAGCCAGGGGCTCACATGTGTCAAGCTGAGACCAGCCCCTAGCCTTACCCTCTCAGGCTTACTCAATCTCATCCCATCTCAAGCCTCCATGTTATCCAGCTCTGCTCTCCCCCAGCAATCCCAGTTTCCTCAGCAGCTCAGCTGCAGACTAGCTTCACCCTCACTTACCTCACCTGACCCACTTTGCCCGCCCCCGGGCCAAGAGGGCGGGGAGCTCAGGGAGCAAAGGTGCAGTATCTGTGGCCATGGGAAGCAGCACGGTATGGTCACAGAGAGAGGCATGGTATGGTCACGGAGAGAGACATGGTATGGTCATGAAGAGAGACATGGTATGGTCATGGAGAGAGACATGGTATGGTCATGGAGAGAGACATGGTATGGTCACAGAGAGAGGCATGGTATGGTCACGGAGAGAGGCATGGTATGGTCACAGAGAGAGGCATGGTATGGTCATGAAGAGAGGCATGGTATGGTCATGAAGAGAGATATTATATGGTCATGGAGAGAGACATGGTATGGTCACAGAGAGAGACATGGTATGGTCACGGAGAGAGACATGGTATGGTCACGGAGAGAGACATGGTATGGTCATGAAGAGAGACATGATATGGTCATGGAGAGAGGCATGGTATGGTCACGGAGAGAGACATGGTATGGTCACAGAGAGAGACATGGTATGGTCACGGAGAGAGACATGGTATGGTCACGGAGAGAGACATGGTATGGTCACAGAGAGGCATGGTATGGTCATGGAGAGAGACATGGTATGGTCATGGAGAGAGACATGGTATGGTCATGGAGAGAGACATGGTATGGTCACGGAGAGAGGCATGGTATGGTCACGAAGAGAGGCATGGTATGGTCACGGAGAAAGACATGGTATGGTCATGGAGAGAGACATGGTATGGTCATGGAGAGAGACATGGTATGGTCATGGAGAGAGACATGATATGGTCACGGAGAGAGGCATGGTATGGTCACGGAGAGAGGCATGGTATGGTCACGGAGAGAGGCATGGTATGGTCACAGAGAGAGGCATGGTATAGTCATGAAGAGAGACATGGTATGGTCACGAAGAGAGGCATGGTATGGTCACGGAGAGAGACATGGTATGGTCACAGAGAGGCATGGTATGGTCATGGAGAGAGGCATGGTATGGTCATGGAGAGAGACATGATATGGTCATGGAGAGAGACATGATATGGTCACGGAGAGAGACATGGTATGGTCACGAAGAGAGACATGATATGGTCACGGAGAGAGGCATGGTATGGTCACAGAGCGGGTCATGGTATGGTCATGAAGAGAAGCATGGTATGGTCACGGAGAGAGACATGGTATGGTCATGAAGAGAGACATGGTATGGTCATGGAGAGAGACATGGTATGGTCATGGAGAGAGACATGGTATGGTCACAGAGAGAGGCATGGTATGGTCACGGAGAGAGGCATGGTATGGTCACAGAGAGAGGCATGGTATGGTCATGAAGAGAGGCATGGTATGGTCATGAAGAGAGACATTATATGGTCATGGAGAGAGACATGGTATGGTCACAGAGAGAGACATGGTATGGTCACGGAGAGAGACATGGTATGGTCACGGAGAGAGACATGGTATGGTCATGAAGAGAGACATGATATGGTCATGGAGAGAGGCATGGTATGGTCACGGAGAGAGACATGGTATGGTCACAGAGAGAGACATGGTATGGTCATGGAGAGAGACATGGTATGGTCACGGAGAGAGACATGGTATGGTCACAGAGAGGCATGGTATGGTCACGGAGAGAGACATGGTATGGTCATGGAGAGAGACATGGTATGGTCATGGAGAGAGACATGGTATGGTCACGGAGAGAGGCATGGTATGGTCACGAAGAGAGGCATGGTATGGTCACGGAGAAAGACATGGTATGGTCATGGAGAGAGACATGGTATGGTCATGGAGAGAGACATGGTATGGTCATGGAGAGAGACATGGTATGGTCATGGAGAGAGACATGATATGGTCACGGAGAGAGGCATGGTATGGTCACGGAGAGAGGCATGGTATGGTCACGGAGAGAGGCATGGTATGGTCACAGAGAGAGGCATGGTATAGTCATGAAGAGAGACATGGTATGGTCACGAAGAGAGGCATGGTATGGTCACGGAGAGAGACATGGTATGGTCACAGAGAGGCATGGTATGGTCATGGAGAGAGGCATGGTATGGTCATGGAGAGAGACATGATATGGTCATGGAGAGAGACATGATATGGTCACGGAGAGAGACATGGTATGGTCACGAAGAGAGACATGATATGGTCACGGAGAGAGGCATGGTATGGTCACAGAGCGGGTCATGGTATGGTCATGAAGAGAAGCATGGTATGGTCACGGAGAGAGACATGGTATGGTCACGGAGCGGGTCATGGTATGGTCACGGAGCGGGTCATGGTATGGTCACGGAGCGGGTCATGGTATGGTCACGGAGCGGGTCATGGTATGGTCACGGAGAGTGCTGATATGGCTATGGAGAACAGCATGGCACACACACCATATGGCAAAGGGACATGCCCTCGTCTTCTAAACCATGAGAATTAACATTTGAATGCCAAGTCGTTGGACATAAATTGTTTCCTAAATCTCTCTCCCAGACCCATCCTGGACAGTCTGACGGTTGCTCAGGCTGGCCTAGAACCTACCATGCAGCTCAAGCTAGCATCATCCTGAGTTCTCGGATTGCATGTGGCTATCTGGCTATTCTCCTCTTTCAAAATCAGATGTAAAATATGAGCCATTAAATAATCTATCAGACATCGGTTTCTGACTTGGGTTTACTTTCCAAGATTAATTCCACATTCCACGCCTCATCAATGTCTTGCACCTGTCTTTGAAGAATACAGAAAGAAAGAAGGGGGGGGCTGTGATGAATCTTTCGCCTCACACAAAGGAGAAACGGCAGGACAAAAGTGGAGCTGAGTCACCAGATACTGAAGCCATGTCTAAGGAGAGACACTGGCCTTCCAGGTACTGAAGCCATGTCTAAGGAGAGACACTGGCCTTCCAGGTACTGAAGCCATGTCTAAGGAGAGACACTGGCCTTCCAGGTACTGAAGCCATGTCTAAGGAGAGACACTGGCCTTCCAGGTACTGAAGCCATGTCTAAGGAGAGACACTGGCCTTCCAGGTACTGAAGCCATGTCTAAGGAGAGACACTGGCCTTCCAGGTACTGAAGCCATGTCTAAGGAGAGACACTGGCCTTCCAGGTACTGAAGCCATGTCTAAGGAGAGACACTGGCCTTCCAGGTACTGAAGCCATGTCTAAGGAGAGACACTGGCCTTCCAGGTACTGAAGCCATGTCTAAGGAGAGACACTGGCCTTCCAGGTACTGAAGCCATGTCTAAGGAGAGACACTGGCCTTCCAGATACTGAAGCCATGTCTAAGGAGAGATACTGGCCTTCCTCCTAGCAGCTTCTCTGTACTGGGGTGGGGGTGGGGGTGTAAGAAAAATTAATACCACAGCCTTGCTCTGCTAATATCATTCTAATCTGTACTGACGACTTCCTCGCTTTGGATGCTATGCATAAGGTAATCTGGAATAATTAACTAAATTGTAGAATTTTACATTTTTGGACTATAACTATATAGTTTATCCAGCACTTCAAAACAGGGTGTTCAGGCATTAATCTGGAAATGGAAACATCTTTAACTCATGCAGATGGGGTTACCTGTGCTTGGAGTATGATGAGACTTAGTGCTGCTCACTTACTTTTCTGTTTCTGTCATGGGATTTTACCAAGAGCCACTAAGCATTATTCGTGATGGTCTGAGGAGCAGCAGAAGTCACAGAAGGTGGGCTTGAAGCCAGGACGCCAGCAATCACCCAGGAAGGCTGTACACAGCTCCAGGATGTGGGCTCTATCTGGGCTTCTGGGGATCTGATCTCCGGTGAGGGTATGCGGCTTGGACTGCGCAGCTGCAGTACTGACGTGTTTGTTTTTTTAATTTGGTTAGATTTCCTAATTGGCTTTTATCTTTCATGAGTTTTGAGAAGTTCAAGATATGCTCGGTAGTAAAGTGAGATTCACTCTCAGAGGAAGAAAGGAAAGTGAGAGATGGCGGGAAGGAGGAAAAGCCGAGGAATATTGGAAGAACCTGGCTGTAGGGAAACATATTCAAGGCCCTGAGCCACGAGGAGTGATGCAGGGAAGCAGGGCCAGGCTGAGTGAGAGCTCAGGCTCTACCATCCACCCTTCCCCCTGGGCAATGCTTTCAACTTCCTTCATCTACAGAACATAAGGATTAAAATGTCTACCTAATATTCTAGTGCAATCATGAGAATTAATTAGCAATCTTACACAGCACATATCCAATAGCTGTCAGTTTCTGTTTCTGTTACCTGGAATGCTTGGTTACATACAGAATCAATGCTAGATTTTTTTGGCCTGTTTTTAAAGGATATATTTTATATCTATAAACTCCTGAATTACAGCTTGCTGACTGCTGCTATACCCCAGATAAGCACCACCATGCCACCTCCAGGGGTAAACTGTCCTAGATAGTAAGACAAGGAAGAGGACACTCATCTACTATCCTTGTACGGACAACTGCAAACTAATCAACAAGTCCTTAGACAGGCATGTCTGTGAATGAAATAAGTCTGAGTCAAGAATGAGAAAGAAAAGAATGAGAGACCCTGTGAGAGGAAAACTGGATGACACTAGTTCTTGACCACGTGGAAAGGAACAGAGTTAGAGCAGGACTGTCAGACACAGTGCAAGTCCTTCTTAGTCTCCCACTCACTGCCTTCCTTTTAGAAAGAGGGTCGGGCTGGAGAGCGAGTCTGTCAGTGAAGAGCACTGACTGCTCTTGCAAAAGACCCCAGTCCAGTTCCCAGCAGCCCCACTGAGGCTCAAAACCTCCTGCAACTCCAGTTCTAGAAGATCCAATGCCCTCTCCTGGCCTCCGTGGGGTGCACAAAATTCATGCATACCCAGAAAAAACAATAAATCTTTTAAAAGAAAGAGGGGGCTCTCTGGTATGAGGGAATGAGGCTCCAGGCTGATATGCCCCTGTATCTAGATAATGAAGAGGCATCTGGCCTAGAATATTCCAGGACAGGATGCTTGTGTGGAGTGCAAGGAATGAGTATGTTCTCTTCCAGCCCCTGCTATATTAAAGTGTTCTTGCTAGTTCTGAGTCACTTTAGAGCTCCATGAGGCCAAGAGTGGGCTGGCAGAACAGCTGTTGGGGGTTCCGTGAGCAACAGTAGACGGGCACCTGGTAATAAGAAGGAACAGAATCTAATATAAAAATAGAAAGACTGTCACACCATGCCTGAAAGGGAGCCAGCTAAACTGGGGTGCACTGGTCCCATCTGGTAGCACAGCTTCCTCTGCTCCTCTATAGCTGAGTGCCCAGGAAGTCCCACGACCCTCATGTGAACATATACTCCCCTACTTTCTCCTAGGTACCAGTATGACTTCTGTAATCTGAACCCAGGGAAGTACATACTGACTTTTGTGTTACTCAGTTTTTAATTACGTGTGTGTGTGTGTGTGTGTGTGTGTGTGTGTGCCCGCACGCGCGTGAGCGCACACATGTGCGTGCGTGTGCATCACAACGAGCATGTTCAGGTCAAAGGATAAGCTGAGGCAGTCGTTCTCGCCTTCCTGTATGTAGGCCACAGGGGTTGAGCTTGGGTTGTCAAGCTTAGGGGCAAGTGCTTTTGCTCACTGAGTTAACCCACAGATATGGTCTTGTATGATATTCTTCTTGCCAAAACTCACGGAGAATCAAAACCCATCTAAGATTTTTGCAGTGCTCACAGGCAGGCATTGTGTGTCACAGTTTGCCAAGGACCAAGCTCCACAGACACCGGGCCTTGGCAGGGAGCAGCCTATTTGGGAGGTAAGTCACAGCAGGAGCTGTACTTCTGCCTTCCTGTCACAGAGGCTTGCTTGTAATATGAACCTTTCTGGCTGTAGGGAAGTTGGAAACTTCGGAGAAGGAACTGTAAAGATTCCATAATGGGAACAGGGAGACCTAAAAACTGTAATCTAGCTGAGTGTGGTGGCACACACCTTTAATCTCAGCACTCGGAGGCAGAGGCAAGTGGATCTCTGTGAGTTCCAGGCCAGCCTGGTCTACACAGGGAGTTCTAGGCTAGGCCCATCTACATAGTGATACCTTGTTTCAAATCAAAACAAAAGCCCTATAAATCGACATCAGAATGCATTCCTTTGAGCTGGGATCTTATATTACATTGCCATTTCCCATGATGCCTTAGAACAAAGTTTCTCAAGACTCTAAAACAAAATTTTGATAAACTGCCCAATATAGAGATTTCCCTGCCTTCCAAAAGCTCTCATGGAAATCAAGAAGGCCATGGTGACAGAATTGGGGGGACATGTTTTTATGCCATAAAAATGAACATGCTACAGACAGAAATCATGGAACATGTCTGTAATCCTAGCTCAGGAGGTTTGTGAGAGGAGTACTAAGAGTTTAATGCCAGCCTGGGCTACATGGAGAGCTTTAGGCCAACCTTGTCCATAGATTAAAACGCTATGTCAAAAAAGATGAGAGGGGGTGTGGCATTTGGGCAGAGAACAGTGGAGACCACTGAGCAGAGGCGCCTTCTACAGTCTAAGAGAAGACTCCATGCAGAGACCTGGAGACGGCGAGGACCGACCCCACACTTCACTCTGCGCTCAGCCCGTGTCTCTTCTACCGTCCATGAGCGCAGAGTGTGGGGGACGGGAAGCCTCACACTTGCTAACTTGGAGGCAGCTTTGGCCATTTATTCCACAAGCCGCCTGACAAAACAGTGGCTTTCTACATGTTGGGGGGGGGGGGCTCTGCTCTAGAAGGCACAGTGAAGGGGGTGTGGCAGAAACGCGGCCCTTCCCCCACCCTGAGGTAAGAACACGGTGAAGCAGAGGTACCACTGCATACCGTGGAGAAGAACATGGTGAAGGTATAGACGGCAGCTTCCAGCACATAGCGGCTCCGAATGGCCAAGACCACAGGCGGCAAAAACATGAGGTTGCTCAGGCAGAGGAGGAGTGTGGACAGCAGCTGGAATCCGTAGGTGAGCGCATCGGCACTGTCTGTGCAGCCCCAGCCCCGCCACCCTGCAGGTGAGGAAAGGACAAGGTGGGGGAGGGGGCAGAAGGCACCAGTGGGCTCTACCGACAGCTGTACTCACCCCTGCCCCCATACCGAGTTCCTGGGGCGCCCCTGCTGGCCACCCCGTGCCCAGGAGCCCCGCCCCCCGGTGTGGCCCGCCCCCCCCCCCAGCACACTCACCAGCCTTGCACTCGCAGGCCGCGTACAGGTAGTTGTGGGTGCGCAGCAGCTTGCACTGGCCATAGGGTCCACAGTCATCCACGCACGGGGACAGGAAGGTCCGCAGCCGCACTTCGGCCGTTGCGTTGCGGCACCGCACGAACCTGCGAGCACGCACTCCTGGTTATCTGAGGCCAGAGCCACCCCAGGCCAGCTCCAACTATGCCCCAGGTTGCTCTTGCTCACCGAGGTCCCGCCCCGCAAAGAGAGCGGAGGGTCAGGAACCAGGTCCCTGTCTGTGGGAATGGAATTCGAAGCCTGGCCACCCTGGACGTGACGCTGACTGAGAAGAGGAACCCTGCCAGGGACTCTAAAAGGGGAAAAGAAGGCGCAGGGGAAAGAAGTGGTCAGCATGGAGTCAGCCCCACGTCTGGGGACCCCTCGGCTGCCCCCCTGTTGTGAGGGCACCCAGCCTCCCGTTACTCCCCACTTCTCTCCCCACCTTTGGAACAGGTCACGGCAGCATCCCCCAGGCTCAAGGGTACCTCGTGAGTCAGGCATCCAAACACTGTTACATTCTCTTGGCGCAGAGAGCTCTGAGCAGGGTGAATATGCAAATGAGGCAGGCTGTCAGACCCTTGGGGTGGCCACCCCAGACCTGTCTCTTCTCCCACTCCCTATGGCTGGGCAGTCCTGTCCTCCAGGTGGGCCCACTCTTCCGGGGATCAACGCATCAAAGCTGTGCTCTTACTGAGTAGGAGGCTGAGGTCCATCAGACCCTCACAGACAGACTCTCAGAGCCTAGCAACAGAGCAAGGCCCCACTCTGGGTCTCCCCTTCAATTCATGGGGAGAACTGGGCACCTCATGCCAGATGTAGAAACCAGCTGTAATTTAAGGTTCTCGGTCACCTATGCCTGGGGCTGAAGGTAAGAGGCGTGTTAAGAAAACTCACTCCTAGGTGAAATAACCCCAAGTAGAAACAGAGGTAGCTGAAGCCAGAGAGACTAAATGTAGCAATCTGACTGGGATTAAAAGGATGCAGGTATCCCCAGGTGTGGACGTAAGGGGCTGTCTTCCAGGTAGAGACCGGATACCATAAACTCATCAAGAAAGATTTGAGGCAGCTTGGTATATTAAATCAGGATAAAAAATAAATGCTTATGAGAACATTCTAATGAGTATAGAAAAATAAGTCTGTCCCTAGACATGAGCCATGTATTTGATGCCTGCTGAATGGTCAAGTGGAGAAGGAACCTAGGTGGGTTTCCTGGTTTGTGAGCTCATCTTACTACCATTTTGGGTATTTGAGATAGCATTCCATTAACCCAGGCTGGCCTGGCCTGAAATTCACTATGGAGCCAAGGATGACCTCCTTGTGCTGGGATTATGCCCTTCAGCTGCGTTCCCACCAAACAATGCTGTGTCTGTGCACCTGTCCTCGACACAAGAGTGAGTCTCAGAGAGCTGCTTTATCGCTTCCTGTGATGGAAGGCCAGGGAGGGCAATGTGCACAAGGACCACCCGTAAAAGTGATTTATGGCAACAGCCAAAGGCAGGCTCCAGGTATACAGCGCTTGATCCGGGGGAACAAGCAACACACTTGCAAGAAAAGAGTAAGACTCTGGGTTCTTAGTCCACCACAGTTCCACAACTGTTGCTCAGTGGGATGCAACAATTTAAAGACAAACTTGTGAATTGTGGATGCGAACCATTAATCCCAATGTTCAGGAGGCAGAGGCAGGCAGATTTTTTTGTGTTTCAGGCCAGCCTGGTCTACATAGCAAGTTCCAGACTACGAGGGCTACTTAATGAGACTCTGCCTGAAAAATAAATAATAAGTGGGTAAATAGCTTGCCTGCCACACTGGTCACCCAGCTGCATGACCTCGAGAGGTGATAGCCTCCAGTTACAGAAATGAACTACCGCAGAGATCGGCCCTCTAACAGGAGGCCAGCCTACAACTAGAAACACTGGGCCAGTCTGAGCCCCACTGATGCAGCTTCACAGTGCAATGAATACCCAGAACAAGCTTGTTCACCGGAACTGTGCTGAGAACTGGAGCCATGCATAAAAGCAACCTGGAAAGACTTCCTGAAGAAGACTAGGGCCCCTACACTCCTGCAACTCTCCCCTTCAGACCCCCCAACAGAGAAACCACCCCCCTCCCAGGAAGTACCACATTGAGCTGGAGCTCCAGACTAAGAACACCTCCACTGTCCAGCACTGGCAACAGCCTCAGGGCAAACACAGCTGGGCGCTCAGGTGGAAGGGCCACGCTGGGACCGAAGAAGATGTAGAAGTGAACAGAGAAGGTATCCAGCTCATTGCGTAGAGTCGGGCGCACTGGCCAGCAATGCTCAGTTGGCACTGCGGCTCCAGACCCTTCTATAGGAGTCCCCAGGGATGGTGGCTCCGGGGGCAGTGGCTGGTTGCCCAGTGACTGGGGCATATTCATGGCGGCCCCAGGGACCAAGGCACGGGACAGGCTGGGTTGTGGACACTCTGTGAAACAGAAGAAACCAAAGATGAGACATGTGGTCCACATAGCCCTGCAGCCCCACCACAAACCAGAACCGGGCCCGACAGGACTCAGCAAAGGGGAGGAAGGTATATAAACTAGAATAGGATGGGCCTGGAGAAAGGAAGCATCCAAGATCATTGCACAGGGTCCAGATGTTTCCTAGTTGTCACAGCTACTCCATTACCATGTTGTAGAGTATAAAAGTCATTTTCCCTCCCCAAGGTCATAGTAGAAGGAATTAAGATCATGTGTCCTTCCTCAAAGCCTTGAAAATACTTCAATATAAGCTAATGTGACACGCTGTCCTAATGATTTGTGAGCTTATACTTCAATATAAGCTAATGTGACACGCTGTCCTAATGATTTGTGAGCTTATACTTCAATATAAGCTAATGTGACACGCTGTCCTAATGATTTGTGAGCTTATACTTCAATATAAGCTAATGTGACACGCTGTCCTAATGATTTGTGAGCTTATACTTCAATATAAGCTAATGTGACACGCTGTCCTAATGATTTGTGAGCTTATACTTCAATATAAGCTAATGTGACACGCTGTCCTAATGATTTGTGAGCTTATACTTCAATATAAGCTAATGTGACACGCTGTCCTAATGATTTGTGAGCTTATACTTCAATATAAGCTAATGTGACACGCTGTCCTAATGATTTGTGAGCTTATACTTCAATATAAGCTAATGTGACACGCTGTCCTAATGATTTGTGAGCTTATACTTCAATATAAGCTAATGTGACACGCTGTCCTAATGATTTGTGAGCTTATACTTCAATATAAGCTAATGTGACACGCTGTCCTAATGATTTGTGAGCTTATACTTCAATATAAGCTAATGTGACACGCTGTCCTAATGATTTGTGAGCTTATACTTCAATATAAGCTAATGTGCCACGCTGTCCTAATGATTTGTGAGCTTATACTTCAATATAAGCTAATGTGCCACGCTGTCCTAATGATTTGTGAGCTTATACTTCAATATAAGCTAATGTGACACGCTGTCCTAATGATTTGTGAGCTTATACTTCAATATAAGCTAATGTGACACGCTGTCCTAATGATTTGTGAGCTTATACTTCAATATAAGCTAATGTGACACGCTGTCCTAATGATTTGTGAGCTTATACTTCAATATAAGCTAATGTGACACGCTGTCCTAATGATTTGTGAGCTTATACTTCAATATAAGCTAATGTGACACGCTGTCCTAATGATTTGTGAGCTTATACTTCAATATAAGCTAATGTGACACGCTGTCCTAATGATTTGTGAGCTTATACTTCAATATAAGCTAATGTGCCACGCTGTCCTAATGATTTGTGAGCTTATACTTCAATATAAGCTAATGTGCCACGCTGTCCTAATGATTTGTGAGCTTATACTTCAATATAAGCTAATGTGACACGCTGTCCTAATGATTTGTGAGCTTATACTTCAATATAAGCTAATGTGACACGCTGTCCTAATGATTTGTGAGCTTATACTTCAATATAAGCTAATGTGACACGCTGTCCTAATGATTTGTGAGCTTATACTTCAATATAAGCTAATGTGACACGCTGTCCTAATGATTTGTGAGCTTATACTTCAATATAAGCTAATGTGACACGCTGTCCTAATGATTTGTGGGCTTATACTTCAATATAAGCTAATGTGCCACGCTGTCCTAATGATTTGTGAGCTTGTGGCAAGGGCAGTTCTTGAAGTCCTGGCTGGCCCTGTCTACCCCAAGAAACAATGACATTAAGTCAAAAAAAAAAAAAGCAAGCCTTTAGTTGTCCCATGTCAGGTACGAAGACACACCATGAAGGCAGCTCAATGACCTGAAGCTCCAAGGACATGGGACCTCAGGGGTGTGAAGGAACCTGGGTGGCGTAGGGGAAATTGTAGAAACGTGGCTGAGGGTCTCAGAACACAGCCATCCAGATGACCCCCAGCCATGGATTCCTGCACAGGTTGGGGAGCTGAGGCACATGAGGGGTTCTGACCTTGTACCCGTACACACAGCTGGAAGCGGATGATCCTGCCAGAGCCGCGGGACGGCATCTCCACACGCACATAGACCCAGTGCCCCCAGGGGGGCAGGGCCAACTCCAGCTGGCATACTGAGGCACCTCCACAGGCCACAGAGCTTGAGTTGTGTAGGGGTGGGGCCTTGGGACGTAGGCGCAGTGTCAGGGGGCAGACAGACGCCCCCCGGCCCCCTACACACACCAGCTGTGCGGAGACCCTGTATGTGAAACTGGGCACAAAGACCCTGCACAGAGGACAGGTTGGGAGCAAGGAAAAAAACAGAGGGAGAGAATCGTGAGGAGCGAAACAAGAGGAAGAAAGGGAATGGATGGTGGCCTGGCCAGGTCTCCCTCCCTGTGTGAGGGAGAGGAGGCCCGGATAGGACCCACCCTGGGGACTCGGAAAGCAAGACTGCCCCTGTGTAAGGCAGAGGAGGAAAGGGTGGGGCCTGGTTTGGAGTGTTTACTTACTTATACAAGGCTGAACGATTGTGGGGGGAGACGGTTTGCTCTGAGGGGCGGCCAGGAACCAGTACAGCCACATCCAGCAAACGCCGGACAATCAGCTGTGGCTGAAGGAGGTACTGACACTCATCCTGGAGACCCTGAAACAAAGAGGGGCAGCAGGAGGGACAGTGTGTATGCTACCAGAGCAAGAAGGCCAGCATAACCTGTGGGGGTGGCGAGGGCCGTGAAGAAACCCCTAACCTCTGGTTCCCAGGGCTCCCACTCTGGTCTCCAAGTCTGAACATCTAACTCAGTGGTCACTTCATCAAGGACTGTTTATTAAAAGTATTTTAGAATTAGGCTTAACTACAAGGGTTAGGGAAAAACAACGCTCTGAAGAAAGACATACCCAGGTACAGGCCCTTCAAGGGGGAATTGCTTTTTTATTCATGTGCCTTCATGAGCTTGAATACAGCCACATGCCAGAGGAACCTCAGATGTTTTTCTCCACCGTCCACCTTGCTTGAGGCAGGCCTCTTCTTGTTAGCAGCAGTATGAGGCAGGGTAGCCAGCCCAGCCCACCAGCTTCTGGAGAATCTCCAGTCTCCACCACCATCTTGCCACAGAAGCGCTGGGGTTCTAGATGGGTGCTATTTGTCCAGCTTCATTCAGTATGGGTTCTGGGATCTGAACTCGTATTCTCATGCTTGTACAGCAAGGGCTTTACCCACTGACACCCGTCCCCCAGCTCTCAGGGCAGTCATTTCTGATCACCTTTGTCCTATCTGGGTCTCCAAGATCTCAACACTGAATGAAGTTCAGGCCCAACTGATAACGTGGTTCTGCTTGTACCTTATCCCAACCCACACCCTCTCCTTGTGACATCCCTAGACAGGACATTCCCCCACACCACCTGTAACAGCAAACCATGCCATTACCCAGCTGAACACTGGCTCTGCTGGGAAGTTGGAGAGCTGCTTCTGGGCCTCTAGTCACTAGTAGTCTGAACCTTTAACTGTCCCTGTTCCCCAGGTTGCCCTTCTGACGTCTGCCTGTCTGACCCTGCTCCATCACTACTTACTACCTCCCAAGCAACCTCCAGACTATTTGGAACTTGAGAACAGGACTTGGCCCTCCCAATAGGCCTAATGTGGTGTGCACAACTTACCATGAATGTTTGCCAAACACATGAATCAGCCCTGCTGCAGACAGCACTGACCTTTATGAAGCTAAAACCCGTCCCCTCGTAACTACTCTGACCTGCCCCGCAGCCTCAGACAGTCTCTTCAGACACTGAGGGATAGCCATCACACTTCCCAAGGCTTCTCTCGTACTTCACAACTCCCAAGCCCCTCTGTCCTACCTCACTGAGACCATCCTCACAGCACCCCATCCCTTCATGACACGGCTCTCCTTCCACAGCAGCCTTCTATGCCCTACAAGCCTATCAGCAGAAGGGGCATGAGGGTCTCTGAATGAGGCTTCTCTAGCCTTCTAGGTAAGGCCTTTAGTTGGTCAGTAAACTAGAGAGTATGGCTCGTTTAGGTGGTTACTGTCATGAGATGTGCCTCTAAAGCCTTGCTCTGGGGAAGTCCCAGGCCCTGACACTGCACCGTGTTTTATGCCGTGGGCCATGTCAGTCAACCTCGGACTTTGGGCTAAGTCCGCAGTGCTGTGAGGAGGCCTTGTCAGAAGAGGCAGCTGCCCTGTGCTAGTCCCTCTCTGGACCACCTCACTGCTTCGTTCTCGATGCTTAGCAAGGGCCTGCCACATCTGAGGTGCTGAGAACAAAGCAGCTGTCAGGTTGAAGGATGGGTGTCCAGAGAGACTTCTTAAGTGACGTAATTGTCCAGAATTTTCCATTTCTGATGTAACCCTATGGATGAGAAATACTCTGGCAATACACTTCAGAGGACGCCCATGAACACAGGGATCGCCACAAGCTCACGCTCAGGATGCAGCCATCTCCTGGCCTCATGGTCTAGGCAAAGAAACACTGCTCCTTTTTTGCTGTTTGAGGAAAGGTACAGGACGTATGTGTGCTCTGGTTGTGTTCCCTCAACATCCAGTCTCTTCTTCAACATGAAGCAGAGACCAAGGAAGGTGGAGGGCCTTGCAGGAGGACTCTGGATTATGGAAATGCCCCATATTGTGTGGAGTGTGAGGAATGTCTCTTCTTTTTAGTTCTTTAGGGTCTTAGTCTGTAGTTTAGCCTTGACCTCACCTTGTGGTGCAGTCTGGTTACAACTCATGCCAATCCTCCTACCTCAGCCTCTTACAGGTACATGATTCATAGATATGAGTCACCATGCCCAATTGATAAAATGCCCCCCAGGTTGGCCTGTAGGCAAGTCTGTGGTGCATTTTCTTGATTGATGATTAATGTGGGAGGGCCTCGTTCACTGTGGGTGGGGCCACCCCTGGGCTGGTGATACTGCTTTCTATAAGAAAGCAAGCTGAGCAAGCCAGGGGAAGCAAGCCAATAAGCAGCATCCTCCATGGCCTCTGCATCAGCTCCTACACCTCCAGATTCCTTCCCTATTTGAGTCCCTGCCCTGGCTTTCCTCAGCAATGGAGTATGACCTGAGAGTTGCAAACTGAAAGAAACCCCTTTCTCTCCACACTGCTTTTGGCCGTGGTGTTCTATCTATCAGCAATGGAATCCCTCACTAAAACAGACTTGCAGACTGAAGATACTCCAGACACGTGACTTCCTCGTGTCCTCAGTCAGCCAACATCAATCAATGTGGAAGTGACTACGGGCAGGGTGGCCTGCAGGGGGCAGAAGAGGAAGCAGAGTGACAGGAGGTCACTGTGGTGGCCCAGGAGAACACTAGAGAAGATGTGCTAACTGGTCATGGGAAGGAAGAGGAAAGTAAGACTCAAAGATGAGACATTTGAGGCTTGAACACGGCTCGGAAGAAGACAGCCAGAAGGATGAGGCTAGCCTGGAGATGAAGCAGGAATCAAAGGGTGTGGGACTTTGCTTTTCCTTGTACATATTAAGCTTGGACTGTTCTTAGAAGCAACTGAAGGTGTCGAGAAAGCTGGTAAATATAAAGTTTGAGATTCACAGAATACAGGACTGTCTGTCTATTCTTAGGAGCCATCAACTCATAGATGATATTTAAAACAACTGTGCATACATACCAAACAAGAGAATGAAAAAACAAAAAGGAGTTCTCCTGGGACCAAGCCTCAGGTCACAACAGCATGCGCACAGACACACAGACACACACACAGATACCCACACAGACACAGACAGACAGACAGACAGACAGACAGACAGACAGACACACATACACACACACACACAGATACCCACACAGACACAGACAGACAGACACACACACACACACACACACACAGACGTAGCAGAGAAGTCAGAACAAAAAGCATTGTGGAATATTGTTAACTAGGCAAAGATGTGTTACATTTGTTTACACTGAGGAATATTACTTTAACTGTGTAAAGATAAGTTACATCTGCTTATAATGTATTTGTTTAATGGTGTAAGGATGTGTGTTTAATTATATAAAGATGTGGGGTTTCACTTTGCCTGCCTAAGGCATCAGATTGGTTTAATAAAATGCTGAATGGCCAATAGCTAGACAGTAGAGGGATAGGCAGGACTGGAATGCAGAGAGAATAAATAGGAGGAAGGGTCTAGAAAGAAAAAAGATAACAGAAGAAGGAGAGAATAAGGGAGATGCCCAGGATGAGAAGCCAGGCAGACATGAGAAGCAGTGAGAGTAAAATACACAAAGTAAGAAAGGTAAACGGCCGCAAGGCAAAAGGTAAAGAGAAGCAGGGTAACTTAAGTTACAAGAGCCAACCAGAAATGAGCCTAAGCTGGGCCGAGCATTCAAAACTAGTAAGTCTCTGTGTCATGATTAGGGAGCTGGTTGGTGACCCAAAAGAAAAAGCTTAGTGCAAAGCAGAGAATGGACAGTGGTCAGGAAAAGCAGGAGAACAACGGAGCCAGGAGTCATAACTGCCAAGGTGAGAGTGATCAAGAAGAAAGAGGAACAAACGGAAGCAGCTGAGACCCGGGTACCAGTCACCTACAGGCAGAGAACCCAAGACACAGAAGCAGCTGAGATCTGGGTACCAGTCACCTACAGGCAGAGAACCCAAGACACAGAAGCAGCTGAGATCTGGGTACCAGTCACCTACAGGCAGAGGAACTCAAAACTAACAGAAGGGAAGAAAGACTTACTTTTCACTGTGGGCCTTTTGTGCCTTTCAAAGGCTGTACCAGGTGCATTTGTCACCTATTTGAAATATAAATAAAATAACTTAGAGGGGAGAGAAAGCAGAGGGGGCACTGTTAGATATCTCACCTACTGTGGCCGAGATGTGGAAACGCTTGGTCCTCATCGGTGAACTGCCTTCTGAACTATCTGCTGCTATGTTTTCATTATCTTACCTGATTTATTTACAACAAATCCTAGACTGGAAAGAGAAAGTCTTCAAGATCCATACCCTGATATTTGGGAGAACTTTCTTGTTGTGAACTAGTGGGTGCTAGCTGTTGTCACAGTCCCAAAGCCAGCCATCCCTGGCACACTGGTGAACGGGAGCCTTGGGATAAACGCTTGCTAAGCCATGGAAGATAACAAGATGAGGAGACTGACAGGAAGAACGGGACAGAGGAGGAGGAATCATTAGATCAGCTTAGGACAGCAGGAGTTTGAGAAGGTAAAAGAAAGGTAACAAGAACTTGCCAAGGCCACCACGTGCCAGCTTGGTGCTGGGAACACAGGATTCAGGAGAACATGTGGACTAGAGAAGGGCATTGTTTCCAGGCTCCCTGTCACTCTCAGGACAGTTTAAACTTCTCGGCCCTCTTTGGTCTGACCTCTGCCCATGCCTCCTCAGTCCTGAGCTCTGGTGCACAATACTCCCACCAGCTGAGGTACTTCCCACTGAGGCCTCACTGCCAAGTCTCCGAACACAACCTCCACCATCCTACCAACCTGAGTTAGCCATCCCTTTTCTTTTTAAAGCATTTTCACATCTCACCAAATATGCCATATTTACCTCAGTGTTCCCAGCACCCAACCCAGGGCCTAGTATAAAGCAGCTGAAGGACAATAGATTACGGGAGATCTAAGCTCATCCCCAAAGTCCAGGAGAACCTTAGAAACAGTACTGCCTCATCTTCCTGGGATCCTTCCTGCCCCAACCAGGGTGATCCCTAAGCCATAGCACTGCCTGTGCTTACCACACATTACAGAAGAACCATAATACAAAGAGGATACTAGTTAGGAATGCAGAGGAAGGTTCTAGACAGCAAACCCAGAGGTTTAAGTCTAGGAAACTAGCCAGGGTCAGGAAGCACAAGAATACTTAGAGGTCCATACAAGATTCTAGAAGATGATCAATGTATTAGAAGAGCCACACCCAAGATACTTGTCCTTCCAACCTCTAGAACAGGCACATCCAAACAGTGCCAAGACCTGCAGCCTCCAGTGATGGAACTGTGGGCCCTTTCTCCCTGGTCTTACCACACTTCTGGGAGCATGGCTATCTAGGCCTCCAGTTGCAGTACCAAGTCTCACCGAGACTGAAAATCCTCTCTAGACAGAACATGTATACCAGTGGTGGCTGTTTTCTCACTCCCCGGTGGTTTAGACACATACTTTGAATCACACATTAGGTTCTGAGAAGCCTTGCTCTATAGTGCTGTCCCCAAGCAATCCCAGCCAGTCCTGTCCAGGTCTCAGCTCCATAATCCTGCACATATCTAGGCTCCATGTGCTCCCTGTTTACTTAGAAAGGGAGATGCCTAAAACAGAGCTAGACTCTAGCCCAGGAAGAAGCCTCTAGCCTCCAAGGGTCAGTTATCAGACATCCTGCATTTGAAATAATTGTATGGTCAGAGTCACCACAACATGAGAATATGTGTTAAAGGGTCTCAGCATTAGGAAGGTTGAGAACCACTGGTATATCAGATTCCCCCATCAGTTCTTACAAAGTAAGGCAAGCTCGTGGTTTGGTTAAGAAGCAGGCTCTCTGAGATTCAGCCAAAGATCAATGGGGACATTCTTCCTAGTTAAAAAAATCCTTATTGCAACATGAATCAAGAGCCCACCGATTTTTCCAGGTGAGCTGCCAGCATGCTCTCATCTACAGGGCTCCAAGGCCCTCTTGGAAGTCACAAAACTAGACTAGTCTAGACACTTTGCCAATTTAGAGGCAATGTTCACCTGGTTGGGAATTTCTGTCCTCCTAATCCTCAATGGCCAGAAACCACTAGCTTTCTTGCTTTGTAGCACTCCTACTTTATAACCCTCTGTAAACCCTCGTCGTTCATGCCCTGTCCCTCACCACACGTGGCTACGGGACCAACAGTGGAAAGTTCATCGCATCTTCCTCTCCTGCAACAAGAGACCTATGCATTCCCTCACTCCCAACTTGTCTAACACACTAGAGTGGCAGGGAAACATTGTGGTACTTCCTTTCACTCCAAACTAAAGAAGCATCCTGACCTTTGACCCTGCCCTTCAGACTGACAATCTCCACTGTGTTAGAGTCAGTGCTGACATCCAGAGGAAAGGAAGGTAACAGTCAGGAAGGGTATCAGCTACCCAAAGCCTCGCTTACTAGGAAAAACCTTCTATGGCTTCTCAGAGGGCAAAGGAGAGCCAGAAACCGTGACACGTGGGCTAGAAACAAGGATGTGGCTTGAGAGAAGTTTCAGGGCTATTATCAACCAAAATAAAAAACAAAACCAGTGCTGGGTGTGTTCAGCAGGTTCCACAGGACCCAGATAGCCTGTGGCTCCACTTTTACTACCGTTAGTGCCCTCTAGTAGGAAAGGCACAGATGCCCAGTTCCAGAGCCTCATTCCAGAATCTGTAGTCTCTCTCCAACCTACCTGGAATCACTATGTCCCAGTTTCCTACACAGGCCATGCCACAGGGTAGCCTGCTGGCCTATAACAGTGCCCACCCCAGCCATTTTGGTGCTGTTGCTCATTCTGGCAACAAGGCTGTGATGCCAGTGAGCACTCAACAGGGATGGAGGAGAAGATATGACCCCTCCTGTCCCTGGAGGCATCAACCCACCTTGACAGAGATGTGACCATGGGCTTGGGGAAGGTGGGCAGCCAAGAACCAGTCCCCAGGTAAGGGGCTGCTGACATTAAAGATGCCCGAGGTCCTGTTGGGCAGTGTCCAGCTGAGAGTGAGTGAGAACACCCCAGGCACAGCCGTGTCTGCTGGGAAGTGCGTGTGCAGGGGATTGATGACAGGAGGCGCTCCAGAGCGGAAATACCTGGGGACGAGAATTAGGAAGAGAGAGAAGCAGGCAGTGAGGCAGGAATTAGGAAATAGCACTTAAAGACAGAACTGTCATTTATCACTAGTAAACAAACAGGTTCCCTATATTGACATATACCACAAAACGGTTCCAGGTTAAGGGTCAAGTTCATAAGGGGCAAAAAGTTAGCTCAGGCATTCACACTAGTTACAAGTGGTCATGTGACAGAGGTCATGGCCCCCAGTCATACTTCAACCTGGATAAGGGTCAGAAAGCATGTTTTGACCCCAAAAAAGTTACATTTCAACTTGGAAAAGTAACTAGGGTACTAGGGTTGGAAAATGGGGTTACAGAGGGTAGGCCAAACACTCACACAGTCACACTTTGATCTGGGCAGTGGTCCCCAAAGGTTCCTCCCTGCTCCTTGAAGATGATGAGGTTCCAAACAGCCAGGAACGTGTCCTCAGGGACATGGAAGTGGAACAGCTCGGTGCTGGCAAAGGAGCGAAATGGGCTGAGCTTGCGGGGCGAGCAGGTGGAGTAATCAGTCAGGAAAAGGCCTCCTGGGAAGCAGAAGAAGTCAGCAGCAGGAGGGACACAGGCATGTCCCTTCCGTAGCAGGCAAGCCCGTGTTCCTCACAGCAGCACCAAGTCAACCAGCACACTCAACCAGACAGCACCAAGTCAACCAGCACAATCAACCAGACAGCACCAAGTCAACCAGCACAATCAACCAGACAGCACCAAGGCAACAGCACACTCAACCAGACAGCACCAAGTCAACCAGCACACTCAACCAGACAGCACCAAGTCAACCAGCACACTCAACCAGACAGCACCAAGTCAACCAGCACACACAACCAGACAGCACCAAGTCAACCAGCACACTCAACCAGACAGCACCAAGTCAACCAGCACACTCAACCAGACAGCACCAAGTCAACCAGCACACTCAACCAGACAGCACCAAGTCAACCAGCACAATCAACCAGACAGTACAAAGTCAACCAGCACACTCAACCAGACAGCACCAAGTCAACAGCACACTCAACCAGACAGCACCAAGTCAACCAGCACACTCAACCAGACAGCACCAAGTCAACCAGCACACTCAACCAGACAGCACCAAGTCAACCAGCACACACAACCAGACAGCACCAAGTCAACCAGCACAATCAACCAGACAGTACAAAGTCAACCAGCACACTCAACCAGACAGCACCATGTCAACAGCACACTCAACCAGACAGCACCAAGTCAACCAGCACACTCAACCAGACAGCACCAAGTCAACAGCACACTCAACCAGACAGCACCAAGTCAACAGCACACTCAACCAGACAGCACCAAGTCAACCAGCACAATCAACCAGACAGCACCAAGTCAACCAGCACAATCAACCAGACAGTACAAAGTCAACAGCACACTCAACCAGACAGCACCAAGTCAACCAGCACACTCAACCAGACAGCACCAAGTCAACCAGCACACTCAACCAGACAGCACCAAGTCAACCAGCACAATCAACCAGCCAGGAGCTGGGCTTGTGCTACCCTAGCCAGCTTCTGCTTTATTCCTCACAAAACCTTGTTCTTAGAAAATTCATATCACAAAACGGAAAACTAAGAATTTCAAACCTGGGCCTTTCATATGACTTCATGCTCAGTCACTTAGGAGGTATTATTCTCCCCTCACCAAGCCTAACAAAACAGGGTGTGCAAGTGTGTGTGTGTGTGTGTGTGTTGGCATAGGCTCTTAAGCCACCGAGCAAGCTAGAACTCCACCTGTGGGGCTTAGGAGTCAGCACAGAACTGTGTAACTTGTTTGTGTTCTGCCCTTCTCTATTCCCCAGCGGTTAGGAGCAGTAAAAATTCTCAGAAGCTTCACAAGAGCCGTCTGTATACTAGCTCAGGGCAGAAGAAGGGAGGGGAAGGTGTGGTAGGATTGCAAGGGAGCTGCTTGGGTGGAGGAGTCGAGAACAGGAGCTGGCAGGCCACCGAGACAGTGCCCAAGAAAGGAGAGTGATCAGAACCTCTAGGGTCAAAATGAGTAACCAGGGTGTTCTCCCAGGAAGAGGTCCTGGAAGGCAGTCACTCGGTAACTCGGTGGTACCCTAAATCACTTGGGAATAATTGAGTAGACCAGGCTGGGGAGGAGGTGATTATCTCCAGCCCAAATGCTCAGATGTCTGATGACAGCTGTCAGGAGCAGAGCCGGGGTGGGCAGGAAAGCCACAGGCCCTACCAGACAAGTACATTAGGGACAGGAGTGTCACAGCAGTGAAGGTAATTCGTAGCTCAGATGGTAGGAGAAGGTAACTCCAAAATGCAGTATCCCCATATAAAGTGCTGTAATGGCCTCTCACCGCCCCCCTCCATTTCTAAACAGTTCCAAAGAAGCTCAGGAATGTGCCCTGGACAGGTAGAAAGCTGGGGAAACTCTAGCATCTTCAAGATGCCGTAGAGACTGGAGGGAGGACTCTGAGACAAGAGATTCCAGCTACACAAGAAATACCCATAGGGCTTACCTAATTTGATGATCCCTACCTCTGGAGATGGGAGTCTTGACCCCCCAGAATGAGGTATTTAAAGGAACAGAGACATGGGGCGTCAGAAAAAAAGGTGGCTGCTGAAGGAGGGTAGGTTGGCCACACTAAACTGCCTTATACAGGTAGAAGGCACTGGTCAGAATGGATCAAAGGCCATGACAGCACCAAAGGACTAGGCTCTGCTGTGCCAACCACATGACCAATTTCAACAGGGAAAACTACCAGCTTGCAAGCTGAGCACTGGTCAGCAACCTAGAGAGCTCAGAACTGCACTCAGACAGCAGAGGGGGTATCCGAGGCAGACGGAACGCAGCGGGACTTACACTGCAGAAGACAGCTTCCTAGGGGCTCTGCCTCCAAGAGGCCCAAAGCTGAAGAGCCTTGAATACTATTGTTATAGGAAATAAGAGCTCTGGAGCTCCCTCTGCTGGGATTAGGGAAGGGCTGCTCCTCCTAAAGTTAGCACCAGGCTAGCACAAAGAGCTTGCTTGGCCTGGAGAATCAGGGGAACTAACTCTGCCTAAGCCAACAAGAAAACCAGTGGCTTTGGGGATGATGGGGTGTGACAGGATGTGCTTGTAGGAAAATGAATAAGTAGCAGCCTGGAGCTTTGAGAGGAACTTAGGAGTTTGGAGGTAGGGTGGAGCCTTGGGGAACAGCCCTAATGGCCTCACACTTTGAGATTTAAACAGGACCTACCAGAACCATGTCCCAGAAAAAGCATGAGCAAGGCCCCATCCAAGTCTAAATGAACTTGCCCTGATGTTCCTTCTACAATAATGTGAAGGTGCTTTGCCACCAGGTAAAATCACGTGTGTGTGTGCAAACGCCCCTCATCAAAACCGAAAACCTGATCGCTTCTGCGACTGCCCAACCTGCACTGTCGTCAACAATGACTGTCTGCTCCTCTATTCTGGGCCCTTCCTTTCGAAAGCAGCACTTCAGTGATCCACTCATAAGGCGAGCCGGCCAAGCTGAGGAGTGTGTGGGCCATACCACATGTCCCTCGCCCTCATACAATGACATATGCACTCCAATGACACACCAGCTCATACACACGCAGATAAAATCCATGTCACCAACATGTAAGCATGAACACATGCCGCACACACAGACTCCTATTATGCACACAGCTACACAATGCCCACGCATCTCTGCGGGACCGTGACCTTATGAATGCATTGATCTCAAGCTGTACACCGAAGCTGTACCACTGAGATCAACGGAACCCGCCTCCAGCCACAGCTGCTATTGCCAACGGCTGTTGAGCTCATCTCTGCCCTCGCTAGAGTGCCACTCAGCAAAGGTGGCTTAGGGCGGAGGTCATGAACACTAGCCACTCCCGTGAGGAGGCCCTCTCTGCCCTCAGGCTAGGGCCCTCTCTGCTTCCCTCAGCCCAGCCATTAAGAGGCTGGGCCACCCCTCCCAACCAAGTGACTTCCTAGGCTACATGATGGATATGGGTTGACACCTGCCAAATGAGAAGCAGTTTATGAATTAAGCCTCCCTGCAGACATACTAGGGAGAAAAGAGATTACGCTTTGGGCCGATGGAGGAGTACTTGGACCTGGAATGCAGTCAGAGGGAGGCCGGGGAGGGGATGGAGGTGACCAGTGTGTCACAGGAACTAGGAAACCTTTCTTCTAGCCCTACTATTGCCATCCACACACAATACAACTTCGAACAAATGACTCCCTCGCTGAGCCGCAGTTTCCCCATCTGTAGAACGTTGCTGAGCCTCAGTCACGCTTTAAAAGTACCCAGCATTATCTGTAGCCCAGTGACACTTGCTTGGGGGAAGACCCAGCCCAAGAAGAAAGCTCATGATAACGACAACTAGCCCAATCCATCTGTGCAATGCAGCGTAGTGTCCCCAAAAGTGGTTTTTAACCCCTTTTTGCATGTGTGCTTGGTATTTCAAAGGGTTAGGCCACATCTGGGGCTAGAATCGAAGCTTCTATTCTACAGGACTATGTCATCTCCACAAAACTTTGCAGAAGGAGTAAAGTCCCCAAGATTTCCCATGGAAAGCCGGCCCAAGGGGTCAGGATGGACATGAGATCTCCCGGAGCACTTTGGGGACCGTAGCCACCTGCTGAACTAGCCGAGCAACACCACTCCTGAAGTCGGCCAATGCACCTCTGGTGCAAGCCCTCCTCTCCCCCCCTCGCCCCCGCCACCTCTTCCCCAGTGACCTAGCTCCCCAAGTCCCACCTTGCCTGACTCCTTCCGGGCCACCCCTCCCTGGAACCCCGTCCTTTTCTCAATCTTCCCTGTTTCTGCACTCACCAGCCCCTGGACCAAAGACAGAAAACAGCAACAGCAGCAATAGGGCTGGCGGCAGCTGGAGCCCAGACCTGAGTCGAGGCTGGGAGAGGGGCAGAGTATGAGAGAGGCGGGGAGCCAGTGGAAGAGGCTTGGGCAAACACAGAGATGGGGGCAAAGGCTGGGATACCGGGTTGCGTTGGACTGAGCACTGGGGCTCAAACAAGGGCAGAAGATGCGATGGGGGGAGTGGGTGTGACGGGGACGGGAGCAAGGGCTGGGGCTGGGCCAGGGGCTCAAGCAAACGCTGGGAATGGGACAGGGTCAGATGCTGGGCTGGGAATTGTGACAAGGGCTGGAACAAGGACCGAGGCGGAGATAGCGGCCAAGTCAGAGGCAGGGACTGGGGTTGGAGCGGAGACCTGGACCTGGGCTTTCGCTGGGACATTGGCCTGGGCCGGGGCAGGTTTGGGAAGAGGGGCGAGGGCGTGGCCGGAGGCCAAGGCTGGGGTTGGGATAGGATGAGGGGCCGGGACAAGGGCTGGGCCATGGCCCGGGGCGGGGGCGGGGCCGGCCAGGCCAGCACGGGACGCTCGCAGAGCTGACCCGCGGCTCCGCTCCCCACCCCCAGGGGGTGGCCTCCGGCGTCCTCGAGGGCCCAGGGTCGGGACCGGGACCTGGGTAGGAGTTCAGGCCTGGGCGACTCCGGGCTGCGCTGAACCGGCGATAAGCAGGCCCCGCGGCGTCCTCGGCGTGACGCTCGTCTGGCGCTCCGCCCCGCGCCCCATTCCATTGGTCCCTCTCAGCAAAGCCCGCCCTACCCAATTTTATTGGCCTCTAACTTAACCCTGCTGGGCTACCTACCAGAGAGCCTCCTTCTCGCCCTAATCACAGAGCCCGGGTGACTTCTCAGATACAGCTTCCAGTGAATGTCAGAATGGTACAGGAACCTTCCAGAAACTCACAAAACCAGGTTCCTCTCAGACCATGTTCCTCCCACCCCTATGCACAACCTACACAGAGACTCGCCCAACTAAGGTCCCAACTAGATCCAAAGCAGTCCCCTCAGAAAACCTCACCCACGCAGATGACCAGGCTACTGTTGCCATGGAGACTACTTGGCGTTCCGGTTGCCCTGGAGATCGATGCCGGTCCCTTCCCGGCCTGGGTTCTAGAGGCTTCAGTCAAGTACATCCTTCATCTGCCCTGGACCTCTCTTGTCCCTTCCCTTCACTGCCCTTCCTTCAATCGGGCCAGAGTCCCTTTGCGAAGGTCTGCACATGCCCAAGTCTCCCCAATAAACTTAACACGACCTCTCACTTAGCAACTACAGCCTGGTTCATCAAAAACAAAACGATTCATTCCCTCGGTCAGGACCAACACTACCCCCTCCAACCCAGGTAAAGATCCTGACCTAAGAAAGGACTTGCAACCACCGAAGCCTAAATCCAGAGGTAAGTAGTTTTTCCACAGCCCCGCACCCCAGCCCTGAAATCCATCCTTATCATCCTACCTCTGCTCTGCCCTACTTTGCCCTAGAAAGACTCCAGTTCGCTTAATTACTTCTTTTTGCCTTTAGTTTTGTGCATATGGATGTTTTGCCTGCATGGATATCTGTACACTACATGCATACACTGCCTGTGGAGGCCAGAAAAGAGGGCCAGATCCCTCGGGACTGGAGTTACAAACAATTGTGAACTGCCACATGGGTTCTGGGAATTGAACCCAGGTCCTCTGCTGAACCATCTCTCTAATGAGCTTAAGATGCACCATCTTAAAGATAGCTACTGTCTCTGATGGCTGGGGAAAACTAGGGAGCCATGAAACACAAGAACCCTCGGGTAGCACTTTGGAAGGCCACTTGGGAAGGAGAGGCGGGAGAATTGCTACCAGTTCAAAGCCAGTTTGGTCTACATAGCAAATTCTAGGGCCAGACCCTGTCTCAAAAGACCAAGGGCTGAGGGTGTAGCTCAGGGATAGAGTACTAGCCAGCGTACAAAGGCCACCGCTCAGTCCTTAGCACCGGAAGGGGATCGGGCATGATCATAACAGACCTTGAATGTCAGGACCAAGAAACTTGGGTGTAATCCTTTAGTCTGAGTCAGAGTGTTTTGTGTGTTCAAAAGATCTTGCTGGAAGGAGAAAGAGAGCAGGCATCCTCCCTTCCCACAGCATCCTGGAGATGAGTCATTCATATTGTCACTGTGTGTCACATTGACTCTATCCCAAGTTCACCTGGCCCCAATGCTCAGCATGGTGCCTGAGCAAAGTGTTTGTTTAGGCTGTTAGGAAACGTAAGTTTCACAAATGGAAGACGGAGTAGAGAGATACATTGAGGATGGTAGCGGAGACGCAATGCTACTATACAATCAGGTGGACGATCATGAGAACAGGAACCACGTGGGGGAAATACAGACAGGGATACACTTAGGGAGTGTTTGGAAGATGTATTTCCAAAGTCAGCATCCAGTTGGAAATCCCTGGCCTGAAGCATCTAAAGCGCAAGGGAATAAAGAGAGCGAGTTAGCGGTGTGGATCTGGAAGTCAGCAGTAGCCGGCTGGGCATGGTGATGCACCTTTAGAATACCATGTTCAAGAGCCTGCGGCAGGAGACCTATGAGGAGTTCAGACCAGCTTGGACTACGTAGAAACCTAGCATGGGCTGTACAGTAAAACCTTGTCTTGAGAGGGAAAAAAGAGGAGGGGGAGGGAAGGGGAGGGGGAAGGGAGGGAAGAGGGAGGGAGGGAGGGAGGGAGGGAGGGAGGGAGGGAGGGAGGGAGAGAAGAGGTGCCCAGACAAAAGCAGAATGCAGAAAGTCCTGCTGGGTGCCCTGTAGTATTCTCCTGTACTCCTAGAAGCCACAACTCTGGCTTCCTCTTCAGACTCTGGCATTCCATGGCTATAACTCCACGGTCCTAAGGCATGCCCTAGACTCTGCCCTTAGATTAGCCAAGTACCTTGTTGGGACCCCCTCCAGGGGTGTGGTCCTCTGCTACAGTCTACTGATAGGCTTCTGGCAGCTTCTGTCTTTCTTTCCATCTTTAAATTCCAGCTCCCTACCAGCCTACAGTAGTATGCCGTGTGCGTGCACATGAGTGAACCTCCCGGTACTGTACCCTGAAGCCCAGAATTCTTCTTCCTTCTGGTGCCTTAGGTGTACTAATTTTCCCCTATCCTGTAACATATGTGAACTCTGGGACTCTGCCCTGACTTACAGACCCTCCAGCCTCAGCCTAATGAAGTCTGTACCTTATTCTACCACTAGATGGAAGCAAATGAGATCGCAGAAGGTCCTCAGGCCACCAAGGATGCAAAGAAACCTTCCTTAAAGGACCCCTCTGCTGAAGACTTGCAGGAACCCACTAGCCCTGAAACTGCCTTGGAGCCTCCCAGTTCACAGCCTCCTGACTCCGACGCCCTTTTAAATGTGACATCTACTCCACCGAATCCTGAGGCTGAGGCCTCTGAGGACCTCTGGGAATCTTCTCTCTCTGAACCGCCTTTAACGGCCCATACCACTAAGCTTCCTTCCAGAGCATCTCAGGATTCCTTAAAGGCCCAAGTCTCTGAAAGACTTTCAAACGCTTCCCATTCTGTGGCCTCTCTAGAAAAAGCCATCACTGAGATCCCTTTGGAGAATGCTACAGAGGAGATTCTTATCTCTGAGGTTCAAAAACCTTCTCCTCAGGCCTCACCAACAAACAACATCCCTGAGTCTTCCCGTAAGCTTTCTTCTAATGAAGCCCTACAGAGCCAGGTCCCCGAATATGAGCCCTCCCCAATGCACCCCCTTTTAGGGCCTTCCACCCAGGCCAGCGTGGACACATCTGCAAAGCCGGAGGAGGCCAAAGAGGATGAGCTGATAGTGGGGACCAGCGACGTCACTGCTCGTGTAGCCAGGCCTGAGTCGCATGCGAGCAAGAAGAAGGAGAAAAGAGTCAGTGGTAATTGTTCCTGCCTTTCCCCTGTCCCTGTGACTCTGGCACTGTCCTTGGCTTACCCAGCAGTTGGGGGACTGGGCTACTCTTACATGTGGCTCCTCTTAGTTTTAAGGCCCTTTCGCTGCCCCACTGGTTACTCAACCCCTCCTTTCTCAGGTTATACAAGCCGCCCAGTGGTCCCTGCTAAGCGGGTCGAGCTGGCGGATGTGGCTAAGACAATGCACAGAGAGAAATTTGGAGCTCAAGTGAACAATCTTTTCCAATGGGAGAAGGATTCAGCCCTGAGGGCCATCCAGACAGGTGAGCTCTAGTGGCCTTCCAGAGACCTGTAACAGGCCATGGACAGCTTCCAGTCCAACAGATTTGGGAACCTGCCCCTTCAATGTGGAAATGGCCAATCCACCTGCCTGGAATCTGGAAGGGGAGCAGGTGGGCTAGCCTGAAAGCACTGGAGATTTCATAAAGAGTCTAAGTAGCAATAGAGAGATGTACTAAAATAACTAAAATTGTCACCAACAGAAGAGTTGCGGGCCAGCACTGGATGTAGCAGCCAGATAGTCTATGCCAGAACAACCCTTAAGAGTAGCCCCAGGCTGGGCGGTGGTGGCACATGCCTTTAATCCCAGCACTCGGGAGGCAGAGGCAGGCGGATCTCTGTGAGTTCGAGACCAGCCTAGTCTACAGAGTGAGTTCCAGGACAGTCTCCAAAGCCACAGAGAAACCCTGTCTCAAAAAAGCCAAAAAAAAAAAAAAAACAAACAAACAAAAAAAGAGTAGCCCCAGGACCTTGGGCAGTCTCTAAGAACCTTGTTCTCATATGGACATGGCAAAAGATTTTGGTCCTTTTACTCCATTAAAGACTGTCACTTCTGCATGCCAGATCCATGACCATATGAGTATCCAAAACCCTTGAGGGTCCCCATCAAAGGAGATATATGTCCTAATAACCCTGTTGAGTTCAAGTACCGTCTCAGAATTAGTAACCCCCTTTTGGGACAGGGTCTCATGTGGTCCAGATCATGACTAGTCTCAAACTTCCTATAGTCAATGATGACCTTTAAGGATGATCTTGGACTCCTGACCCCCTGCTTCTACTTCCTGTGTGCTACCACAACGGGTTTTACGTGGTGCTGGGATTTATGTGAGTGCCAGACAAGCCCACTACCCACTGAGCTATATGTAATGAGAACTCTCGGTAGGCCTGTGAGCAGAAGCTGCATCTGTGTAATGGGTGTGCAGATGGGCTGTGTAGACACAAGGCACACGGCATGTCAACCCGTGTTATTGGATATCACCATCTTAAGGATTGTCAGTCTCAGTAGGAGGGCCACTCTGCTCCTCTATGATTCCGAACTGTCTCGGTGAATCGAAAGGAAAGCACTGCATTTTCTCAGGCCTCTCAAACTTCTCTTCTGCTTATGATGGAAGTGTAACTGCATCAACAGGACCAAGATTTAAAAACAACTAAAACATCCTATATTCTTATCCTCCTTTATGTAATTTATTCACCCCACTTCCATGCCCTCTTCCCCGTGCCCTTCATCTCTGTTTCTGAGTTTCCACTGATAGTGAAATCTCTGTTTGGTTATGTTAACATCCATTGCTGTTACATTTTTCTGCAAATACAGTTTCTGTCCAGTCCCCTCTTTACTCTTTTAGGTCCTCCTGTCCATTCCTTATTCTTCGAGACCTCTGTATTTCTTCTTTGTTTTAAATGCCTGTGTTTTCCTGCTTAAACAACTAGTTTGTGTACTCAATTCTGATGTTGAAGATCTTGAGTCAAGACTCCCTAAGAATTTGTGCCGAGAAATTTGAATTGTGAAATTTTCCAAAAATTCTTTCAACAGTCAGTTATTATGCACCAACTATATGCCAACTGTTGAGTTATAGTTGTGTAAGCAGTAGGACAAGAAAGGTCTCAAAGATAAGCCTTGTCCCTCAAATGTACAGAGAGACCCCACCTTAAAAAAAACAAATAACAAAGATCCCTCAGACAACATGTTCTCTAATAAGCAATTCCAATACGTAAAATGACCATTATAATTTAGGCAACAAATTGCTATGACCAGAGTCCTGCAGAGACAGAGGAAAGAGGCACCCAGTTGAGGGTGCTAGAGAAATGATAAGCATTGGAAGGAAAGATTGTTGAAGCTAATATCTGTGAGATGGTAAGAAGAGACAGACAAGCTGGGTATACTGGTGCACAACTATGAACCCAGCACTTGGAAGGCTGAGGCAGGAGGATCACAAGTTTGAGGCTGTCACAGTCTACATGGTGAGTTCCAGGCTAGCCTGAACTGCACAATAAAAGGAGCCTATCAAAAAAGTTTAATTAAAATAAAAGAGATATGACACAACAAGGAATCTAGGGAACTGTAGTGTTTTGCCTTGCGCACGAATATTGGTGGGGGCAGCACTAACTCAGTTCTGGAAACTGAGAATTGTGCAGGGATTTTTGTGCCAATGTGGAGTCATAGTTACATCCCAAGGGTACCTGAGAATCACCAAGATATTTTAAAATAGGACAACTAACAGATTTGTGCTTTTAAACTATCACTCTGGCACTAGAGTAGACAGGAGAAGGCAAGATTGAACACAGGAAGACTCCACTGGTAATAATCCAAGAGTCACTGGGTGACGGCAGAGACAGATGGAAAGGTCCAGGAAGCACTAACAAGGATTGCTGGGTGTGTAGAGTAATTAAGAAATTGTAAATGCCTGGGGTGACAACATCTAGGCTTTTGGCTTGTCTAAGTGAAGTGAGAACATTTGGAGCACATGCAAACCTGGTGAACTGAGGACAAAGGCCGAGAGGTTAGAGGTGAAATCTGGGCACGTGCTTAATGGAACATGCTGGTGAGAATGTAATAGACAGATGACCCTGTGAATCTGAAGCCCAGGAGAGAGCTAGGATGGAGATGCATCCTCCATGTAAAGACAGCTGTATGCAGTAAGGAAACCTAGAAGTCAGGTGCTGATATACAAGCATGGCTATGCAGCTGTACCAAGTCAGAAAGGCATCCAAGATAATATCTCCTTTGTATGCCTAATCCACTTCAACAGGAAGAGGGTTTGGAATCAGAAAATGGAGTCCTGAGTCAAAAGTCAGTTTCTCCACTCTAAGGACACAGAATAGAATAGAATAGAATAGAATAGAATAGAATAGAATAGAATAGAATAGAATAGAATAGAATGATATAATCTGGGGTGTTCTTTCCAGCCTCTACTCAAACTCTGTATCTGAATGTAAGACACTGATTCCAACATCCGTGCTTAGACCAACCAAACTTTGATCTTCAGGCAAATTCAGCTTCAAGCCTGCACATCACCTGCTCAGCCACTACGTTCAGCTTTTGTAGAGTTCAGAATTCCTCTCATGGAGTCCTGGCTCCCACCCACCCATTGTGACTTTGCTTCTGCCTGTGCCCTCAACCAAACATTCCAGGTACAGCAGGGTCCTGATGCCGGAAGCAGCCAAGCCAAAGCCACACCTAAACAGGATTTAGAGCCTTATGCACTATGGGTAAGATAAGAACACCTGGCTCGAGGCACAGAACTGTGGATTGCCTCTAAAGGAACGTGTTCACTTTCAGTCAGACAGTCTATCTTCTCTGACGTCTCTTTCATGGTAGGATTAGAGATATGGATGAAAATATAGACCCTTCTCTTGTGGGGAAGCCAGGGACAACTTTTAGAAGAGGCAACATTTCTGTTGAGGCCTCTAACAGGTATAAGAGTACTACAACTACAGTCCCCCAGAGGGACTCGAGCAAGATTCTGAATAAGAATTGAGATTCTCTCTGCTCTCATGAAGAATGAGAAGACAAGTAGGAGGTTCTGTCCTGTTCTCCTGTCACCTCTTAGCCCTGCCCTTGACTTATGGTAGGTCTTGCCATGGAGCTGGAGTCTCTGAGACCCCACTGCTAACACCAAGAACTTGTAGCCACCTACTGGTGCCTGTATCCGAGGACACTTGCCTCACTTTCCTTTCAATAGTCCCTTTCCATTCCTCGAAACTTAGATTTTATTTGCTTGTTTGTCTGCTTGCTTGTTTATTGATCTTCCAGCCATGACTTCTGGCCTGCCCCTTTTCTCCTGATCTCTGGAGGGCCATCAGCCATCAGCCACCCTTCTCAGGATCATAGAGGGCATCAGCTACGTAGCACTAGGACACAGAAGGGGTGACAGAGGTGTCAGCCTGGAGAGTTAGGGGATAAGCTTCCTCCTGCTTCTTGGCACCAGCTCCGCCCAACTTCCGCCGTTTCTCCAGGTCCTTCACTAATAACTCTCCTCAGGAGCCAGTCCCTGTGACCTACTGTCCACCTGGCCAGTTAGCTTCTCTCTGGCTCTCTATAAACACTTCAGAAAGGTTGGACACTAGCACGGAGAGGGGAGGAGGTAGGACACTTTACAGACACTGGTGCCTCGTGTTCATCTTCAGTGTCACCTCTAATCTCCCTGCTCTGAAACAGGAGACTGCCTTCGGCTATCTTGGCTAGACTGACAGACATGGGGTGGATCCTGAGATAGGAAGGGAAACAATGATACCTTGGGATAATAAAACTAATGAAAAGAGTCTGAGGGCCAGAGGTGAGGGCTCCCTAGTGGAGACAGATATAGCAGTGTATGGAGGGGGGTGGTTCCTCACCCCCACTCCATGGGACCCATCAGGACACTTGTAGGGAGCTTAGGATTTTTTTTCTTTTTCATTCTTCCTATTAATCCCTCTATATGTAGGTCTCTACATTGGCTGGCGCTGCCCCCATTACTTATGGGACTGTTTCCGGATTGGAAATGAGTCCAAGTGCTTTTGTGGACATTTGTTGAAAGAACACCACATCCTCTCAGGTAAGAAGTTGCCAGACTTGTCAAGTACGGAGGGGCTACTGTACTCTTTCATGTCTTGGAGAGAGAGATGGAGAGATGAACATGGGCCAGGCATGGATCTGCACAGGGAGGGATGAGCATGGGTCAGGCATGGATCTGCACAGGGAGGGAGGATCATGGGTCAGGCATGGATCTGCACAGGGAGGGATGAACATGGATCTGCTACAGGGAGGCCAGGTTCTCCAGGTGCTGGTCTAATTCTCTACCACCCCATCCTCCCAGATCTGTCGGTGCCCTGCGGCATGAGCCAGTGCAGGTGCCTCATGTTTTGTTTCATCCCGTCACGCCCAGAGGAGGTAGGTGAGTTCTGGCTTAAGAGACGGGCCACCTTCGATCCCAAAGCCTGGAGAGCCCAATGTCGTTGCAAACATACTCATGAAGAGCATGCGGCCACCGGAGCTCATCCCTGCAGGCACCGCGGTAACTTGTAGTGCACAGGGGTGCTTGGGTGGGGAGAGACAAATTTAAGAGGAAGATGATGTGAGAACATGTCAGCTCGTGGGGCCACCATCAATTCCTTATATTCTTCTTGGTGCACTTTTGCCATAGGGTGTTCCTGCAACTGTTTTGAGTCAAATTTCCTCTGTGCGGCCTGTGACCGGCGCTGGGAGGAACACGAGACTTTCTTCGAGACTGAGGAGACCAGGCGAAGAGGAGGGAGACCTTATGGTAAGGGGGCGACATGGGACAGGGGACCATGCCAGCATCTGTAATCAGAAAGGCCAGGCAGAAAGGCTCTCCCACCTCTCCCCATCCTCTCCAGGTCTCTCATCCCCAGCCCTCCCCACAGCCCATGCCTGCACTGCTTTCCACCCCCAGGAGCAGACTATGTACCTTTTGCAGAGATGCCTGCCCTCCGAGATGTCATCCTCACCAACTCTGACCTTGAGGCCCTCCAGATGCAGGGTGTCTCTGGCCAGCCCAGTTCCCACCCTAGATCCCCTGAACTCCCTGGCCCAAGCAGCCTCCAGCCTCGCTCTAAACCTGACCCCCATATCTGACCCATTCACCTCTGCTCTTCCCTCCTCCAGGGACAGACACTGTCAACACCTGGCTCAGGCCTTTCTGAGCCTGGCCAAGGTCAACAATAAAAGTGGAAGCCAATAGAATCTGACCTGGCTCTATATGGGACAGGTAGCATCAAGACTCAATTTAGAGTCAGGCCTAACTACAGGCAAGAGACAGCACCAAGCAAAATGAAGGCTGACTCCAGCCATCTTCCTCTGTCATGACCATTCAAGCTGCCAGCTCTGACACTAGGAGACTAGCTTCAAGAAAGCCAAGGAGGGAGAATGTTTGAAGAATAGAATAGGCAGAGATTTCAGATGTAGCTGGGGCTCCATGAGGCAAAAACATTGCAATTAGTAGGTGTTTGGAGGCTTTGGACAGTGTGGTTTCACACAGGCATGGTGGAAGTAAACGCCAAATAAATATCCATTAATTTGAAAGGGGTCTCTTCAAGGAGCTTGGGTAAGAATTAGAAGAAAGAAATCAGGCGATACCCAGGTTGTAAATGAAGGAAGCAACTTTTTAAGAAGGACAGGAGGAAGAGGCTCATATACAAAAAGATCTTGAAGGATGCAGAAGGGAAAAGAGATGCTTGATGAGACAAGATCTCAGACATGGAGGAAACAGGGAACGAGGCCAGGGCAGAGGTGAAGGCATTTGCTGTGATGAAGAGAGACTTCGTCTCTTAAGACAAAGAAGGGAATTGAGCTGCAGAAAGTAGGACCTCCCAGAAGTTCCCCTCTGGAGACATTATACACTCTCTGTGAAGCGAGAAAGGGCTTGGTGGGGAATGGGAGACTGGAAGAGAAAGGTGAGCACTGGGGAAGCTGATTCGGGGAATCCGAGAAAGTCATGGCCAGCGCATAGCTGAGCGTTTGTTGTGGTTGGAAGTGAGAATCTGGTTAGAGGACAGAGGCAACACTGCTTAGGCCAACGGCTGCTGATGGAATGGTTTCAGGACAGTGAGGAAAAGAAGGCAGAAGCAACGGGCCTGAAGACGTGAAGGGATGTTACAACGGGGAGGAGAGGTGCCGGGAAACAACAGCTGTCACGGGAGTAAGAAAGCTCTAGTGAGGTCCGGGAGCAGGTGTGTTGGCATCGGCTGCAGCGCAGGGGACGGTGGTGGGGTCTGCAGAGCATGCCGCTTTCAGAAAGCAGCTGCAGGTGACGGCGAGTGTTTGGAATAAGGAGGCTGTGGTCTGCATCAACGTTGTGAAAGCCAGGGAGCACGAGAACTCCACAGGTGATTTTATGCCACAGGACAGACTGACTCTGGTGGGCTTCGAGATGCCAGGTTCCCTCTTTGGGCCTCAGTTGCTACATCCATGACAGGTATAGCCTGGCTTGCCTGCACTCCATAAGAACCCAAAGAAATATCCAGCTTGACAGCTCAGTGCCCTCTAGATTTCCACCCCCTTCTCATCTCAGCTCCAATGAACTGTTGCCCTTCTCTGGGGCAAGTTTCAAGTCTCACTCCTAGGGCTCAGGGGCAAGGTGACCCTACATTTCCTGATATTTAGAAAAGGAAAGGCTGCAGTCCGGATTGCTAGGACCCCAGAGCAAAATTATGTGATCACATATCAACCCTGGGAAGAAGAAAGGGCGAGTAATGTATCTGTGTAAAACAGAGTGCTAATATGCCACAAGTTTCTCAACATTGGTTGTATGTGCTATGATACTCATATAAAAATAATTCAATTATAGAAGAGTTACTGTGATCAGGTCATTGGGGACATGGTATGTAGTCATTGTAAAATATATAAACTATACTAATTTGAAAAAATATGTGAATAATAAACATGCCATTTATTACTATATATAAGAAAATGGAAAAGTGAAACACCAAATACTCAACAATTATTGAGCATTTATATAACAGGCCATGTGCAAAAACAAAACAGCCTCTAGAGACATAGGGGTAACTTACACTATTGTGCCAGACCAGAACTCACCAGATGGTGAGTATTTGGGGAAATACTGATCTATTTTGAGGCTGAGTCTTGCTACGTAGACCAGGCTGGCCTGCAATGCATGAATGATCCTTCTGCTTCTGCCCCTCAAGTGGAAATGGAGAGATGGTTCAGTGCTTGCCACTCTTAGAGAGTACTGAAACGTGGTCCACATCTGGCGGCTCCCAAGCACCTGCATGTCACTCCAGCTCTCCAGAATCTCTGACACCCTCTTGTGTCAGGCACCCACGCGGACGTACACATACACACCAATCTCTAGGTGCTGAAGAGATGGTTATGCAGTTAAGGGCTCTTGGAGAGCACTGAAACTCAGCTACCAGCACCCACATCAGGTTCCCAACAGCCTGTAATTCCAGCTCCAGGTCATCCTATGCCTCCTAGCAGCCATGGACACCCTCACTCGCATGTACATAACCCACAGGCAGACGCATAAACGATAAAAACGTTTATGTATACAAAACAAACTTGCTGCCTCACAGAGCTAACGGCACCACACACCACTTATGAAGTGGGGAAAAATAAACGGTAATTAATGCACAATACAGTATACATAGGATGCTCCTATCCTCGCCTGTTTAAGCGGGGGAGGGGGGAATGTTCTGAAAACTGACTGCATAGTATTGATGTAAATGGGAACAAGAACATAAAACAAATTGACCGAAATTTAAAAAAAGACTTTCCTACAATACGCTTTAGATCTTTGAAGTGGTCAAAGAACTGGAATGGTTAGGTACCTACCCTACAGATTAAAAAGACCTAGTCCACGTTCACTTTGAGCCCCGCCCGTGTGACTCCTGGAACCAATAAGCGCCGAATGTCCTGAGAACCCCGCCCTCCTGGCCAGTGCGGAGAAGGGTCCGCACTACGTTTAGCCTTTTGTGCAGCAGGTGGCGAGGCCTCGCCCTCTTCCAATGGGGGGCAGAGCTAAAAGGGAACGGGCCTAGAACGAGCAAGTCCCACCCACTCAGGATCCTCAACCAAAGCTCGGTCAAGGTGGTGAACCTGAACCCATTAGAAAAAATCCCACCCCCAGTTTTAGTTCTTCCAATGGCGTAGGAATATATCTCAGAGCGAAAGTAGGGATCCAATGGAAAAAGAATTTACACGCTACTAAACAAAAATTGGCCCTGCTTTAGCAGAGGCAGCCAATGAGCTGCACGGCGGGATCCGCCCCCAACGGACGCGGCCAATGGGGCTGCGCCTGCCCGGCCGCCGGCTCCGGGAAGATGGCTGCTGCCGTGCTGCTGGCAGTGGGTTTGCGCACTGCGCGCAGAACCCTGGCGGCCGCGTGGCCCCGGGGGGCGCAGGTGAGAAGCACCAGGAGGGAAGAGGGGGCTTGCGGGCACTGGCGCATTCCAGGGCCGGCACGCGCGTCGCGCATCTTTGCAGAGCCACTGCCTTTCCCAAGGGTCAATGTCTGGGACTGTGCGGTCGAGTCACCGAGAAGCGATCTGGCGGCGACCGCTTCCCGGAACAGCCGGGGGCATCCCGGTTGGGACGGAGCTGGTGATGATGATGGCCGGGAGCGTGCTCCGGCCTGCCTCTGCTGTGCCCCCTCCAGGAAGTGAGCTCTCCCTCCGGGAGCTAGCCTGCTGTTCTCGAATCTCTAGCCCTGTAACGCGAGCCAGCATTGCTCTTTCATTTTCCAACAGTGATTTAATTTATCCCACAGTTTCCCATCAGTGTAACGCACTGATTCCGGCCTTCTGAACCGGAGGGAAACTGGGATAGTCTTACTTCCTGCCCCCTATGGTAGAGCCGAGTTCACTTAGTTGAATTCTTACATAACTCAGCTGACTCTAGTTGCTGAAATTAAAGTCCAGTGTAGGAAGCCGAGCATGGTGGCACATATCTGTAATCCCGGCACTTAAGAGAGTGAGGCAGCAAAATTACCAGGGCTAACAACACCAGGCAAAATAGCACAATAAGATATCAAATGTGACACCCAAATGAGAGCTCAGCCAATGTCAGATAGGACAAATATATTAAAAAAAAAAAAACCAAGGCTTAAAGATCAGAAAACGCATAGTAGAAATAAGTGGAAACACAGTAAATAAAGAGCTTCAAGTTCTCCTAGGACAGGACTCAAACCATTCTTTGAAGCTCTCAGGGATGTATCTGATGTATTTAATGGTAGCATAGGAACTGAGACCTCAATGTCATTTTGTTTGCTTTTGGGGACAGTGTCTTATGTATCCCACACTAGCCTAGAGTTCCCGATCCTCCTGCCTCCCCATCCCGGGTGCTGCTGGCATGACCGATTTCTGGGTCTTTTTTCCTACAGTGCTGGATTTCTTTGGGCACATTTGCAGGAAACACTTGCACTCCTCAACCCTTCATAGTGATTACTGCGTGCTCTGTAACCAGGCTCACCACCATCTGGCCCACCCTTTGCTACGCAGGCCTTGAAACCCAGGGACTTTCCCTAAGTGGAACCACTAACAGCTTCTTAGGGGAATGACGTTAGAATCACTCTTAGAGCCCAGCTTCTTCCAGCCCCAGCTAAGTGCATGGGGAAATTACTGCCAGCTCTCTCCCTTGGGTCCACCGGAAGGTCCGGGGACATGCAGGTGTGGCTGACGGGGGTGAAGTGGCCAAGGCCCAGAAAGCAGCTCCTGGAGGAGCAGCGCCAACCATCTTCTCCCGGATTTTGGACCGAAGCCTCCCAGCTGACATTCTATATGAAGACCAACAGGTGAAGACCCCTGTAGGGTCCAGCCCTCCTAAGAATTTCATAGGTGCCATTGGGTCTGATGAAGGTACAGTGATCTCTCACCTGTCACTGTTCCCAGTGTCTAGTGTTCCGTGATGTGGCCCCTCAGGCTCCTGTGCATTTTCTGGTCATTCCTAAGAAGCCCATTCCTCGAATTAGCCAGGCTGAAGAAGACGACCAGCAGGTGGGGAGAACAGGGCCAGCGACCTGTCTGGGGGGAGCCCTGGATTAAGCTATGAAAGGGACCACCTCTCCCTCTCCTCTCCCTGTAGCTTCTAGGACACTTACTCCTTGTGGCCAAGAAGATGGCAAAGGCCGAGGGTCTAAAAGATGGGTATCGACTTGGTGAGTGACTTTTGTCCTTTGGTCCGCTCACCTATGAATCCCTGTTCCTCAGTGTGAGCTTTATTCCTTGACCTCTCCTGGCGACACTGACCACTAACCTCAAGCTCATTTCAGTGGTGAATGATGGGAAGATGGGCGCGCAGTCAGTGTATCACCTGCATATTCACGTCCTTGGAGGCCGACAGCTGCAGTGGCCACCTGGCTAACCCGCCAGGTGACCCGGGACCACAGACCTGGATGCTTGGGTGGAGAAAGGGAAAAGAAATCCTGTCGCATTAATAAAACTTATTCCCCATCAGTTTTGCATTCCTGTCTTAAATATGTAACATTTATACCACAAAGGTGAAAGGAAGTTGATTTGGAGTTATAATCTCTCTTGACCATGGTAAGAATACAAGGTCCTATGACCTAATCAGAGGTTACAGGAGTGCATAAGGCAGATCTGCTAGTTTCTAATGGCCAGGCCTCTAGGAAGATAAAAAACAAAAACAAAAAAAAAAAAACAAAAAAAAAAAACATCAGTAGAAATTTGCCTGGATGGCAGGACAGAGATCTACCTACCATATTCCCTTTCCTTTTGCTGTTATTTCTTTATCTGTGTGTGCTGAGGACAGAGCCCAGGACCTGGCCCATACTGGGCAAGCCGCATTCTCAGACCCTACCTCATGTATTTTTATCCCTAGACTTAAAAAAAAAAAAAAAAAAAAAGACTGCTCTCCAATTTAGGGAATGAACCAAGCAAACAAGAGTTCATATTGATGAACTGGACTTGTCTCCAGTGCATTCCCGTAAGTCACCTTAGTCACAACGAATCAAGTTGGGCACGGAACCGAGGGTTCAGAGTAGCGGAACCCTAAAAGTCCATGTGAGGCAGAATGGAGCTGAGACTCGGGGAGCACCAAATCTAAGACTTCCGCCCCTGGAGTGTTTGTTTATCTCCTGTCCTACCCTCCACCTCGGTCCGCCCAGCTCTAGTTGTGCGCAGTCTCCTGGATTTGTTTGCCGTCTCCATGGCAACCCGGTAGCTAGCGTCTGAAAATGGAGACCGCCGAGTCTACTGAGGAGTCGCGGTAAGAGCTTTGGATCGCAGAACAAGGAAGGTCAACGGACTAATTTCGCAGCGATTTTGACATCCTTGACGTATTTGTTTCTTTCAGATCTTTAGATGCACAGCCCAGCTCCGAAGGACTTCAGAGCACTTCAGAACCTATCCTTTCTTCGAGCGGCAGTCCTAGGTCTCCCCGCAGGTCCGGGGCCGTAACTGCCCCAGATGTATTATGTGGGTCGGCTCGTAGGCCGTATCCTGTGCTCACAGAGCACTCTTCCGACAGCCTTCTCGAGGCTACCTGCCCTGGATCCCGTCAGATAGGCCATGGGAGGTTTGGCTATCAGCCTCTGTATGTTTCTTATGTACCTCGGAAACCCTGTGCCACAGACCACAGTTCAACCCCTGCGCCTACCTCTTCTTATCCTTGCTGTAGCTCTGATCACAGCTCTGGTCCTTGCTCGGGCTCGGGCTCCGGTCCTACATCTGGACCTGCTCCTGCCCCCGAACCCGCTCCTGCTCCTGCCCCTGAGCCTGCTCCTGCCCCTAAGCCTGCTGACTCTGAACCTAAGGTCAGCGCCAGCATTCCTCAATGGTTCAGAAGCATCCCACCAGATCTGCTCCCTTGGAGTCAGTACTGCTACTATGAGCCATACCAACAACCCTGGGAACCTCTGCAAGTCGGAGAACCTGGAGTCCGAGGGCCATGGAAACCCCCAGGGGTTGAAAGGAAACCTGAGCTCTGTAAAATACTGCCGCGTGGCCAGTGTCTCCTTTACAACTGGGAGGAAGAGGTATGAAGGTTTGGCCTGCTCCCCTCTCCTGAAGGCCGACCCCAGTTTCCTAGAGGAACCAATAGTTTGTGATGAGGGTGGGACTGAGACGGGAGCTCGTAGTCACTGAACATGTGGTCCACAGAGAGCCACCAACCACTTGGATCAAATCCCAAGACTGCAGGATGGTTCTGAAAGTTACTTCTTCCGACACGGACACCAGGGACTGCTGAGCACGCAATTCCAGTCACCCATGCCTTCTAGCACCATCCAGAAAGACTCATACAGGCCCCCAAGATATGTCTGTCAGCCACTTCGAGGTATGAAGCATGGGAGACGGGACCAGAAAGAGCCCAGGAGGCAGAAAACAAAAGAAAGAAAGGGGGGCAGGACTTTCTGGTGGGACTGTGGATGGTTTGGTGGCTCTAAGGGCAAACCCCAGGATTTCCCTTCTCAACTGTTTCTGAAGCTGCTTCTTGGCCTCCTCCCACAGGGGAGCGGGAAGCTAGGCTGGAGAGGCTCCTGCACCACCAGATCTGGTGAGAGCCTGGGAAGGGGGAGGGGGGAAGGGAGGAGGGGAAACTGGGCCTGGCCTTGACCTCTCTGGGCTACACAGTAAAGAGGTCCAGGCAGAGCAAGAGCCTTCCAGGATGCTCTTTGAAGCCAAGTCAGTGACACACGGTGACTACAGAGCAAAGCTGGTACAAACAGGGCCTCCAGCCCCCACAAAGGTGAGAACCAGCCCGCCCTGGCTGGGCTCTGCCCAGCACCGGGAAACAGCAACCAGAAATTGAGAAGAGGCCAAGACCCGGGAGTTACTGTGTCTCTTCTCCCACAGCCTCATGATTACCGCCAGGAACAGCCTGAAACGTTCTGGCTACAGAGAGCACCACAGCTACAGGTGTGGGGGGGGGACTAGGTATGGGGGGAGGCTCTTCTGTTCTGGCTTGGGGAAGGGTGGCACTGTCCTCATCCTGACATTCCTCCAGGGTGTCAGTAACATCAGGACCCTGGACACACCGTTCCGGAAGAACTGCAGCTTCTCAACACCAGTGCCCTTGTCTCTGGGGCAGCCTTTGCCTTATGAACTTGATAATTTCCCCCACCAAACGGGGGCAATGTCTTCCCTTGCCTGTCAGGGAGGAGGGCAGGGGTATGGAGGGGCGAGGACACCTCCAGCCTAAGGGTTGAGGAGGGAGGCAGACATGGGATTTGGAATCTATTTCTGCTTATACTGCAGGGGTAGGTGTGGGAGGAGTTAATTCTCTGTGCTTGCTGAGGGGTTCACATAAAGCATTCTCCTCCTGAAGGTGCTCATTCATTGAGTCTGTGAGTAGCCGTGTCCATACCCAATATTCTTCACTTGCAAAGGCCTGGGTCCCAGACAATAACACCATGATTTGTTGTTGTTTTATACTTGGACAAAATATTCTGGTCTAGATACAGATATTTACAAGAAGCCAAGGAGGGGCAGGTATATGTACAAGATTGAGCTGCAGAGGACTATGACTTCCATATAAGGCAGGGGTTTGGTTTGTGTGTGTGTGTGTGTGTGTGTGTGTGTGTTTTCCATCTCAAATGACAATGTCTGTTGTGTGGAGAGACAGCGGTCATTGCCCATCCTAGTACCAGCAGCAGGAGATTGTCTGGCTTGGGTTTTACAGGAGTCCAGGAGGTCCTTTTCGCTCTCCTAGGAGCCAATAGGTTCGCATTTTTCCTTTTCCCTGGAGGCAGGGGAGTGAGCATAATTGAGATTCTTCTGAGTTAGTGCCTTTATCTCCCTCTCTCCCTGCACTTTCATCCTCCCGTGATCCACCCCGAAGCCCCTCTGTCACCTTCATCTCCACGTCCCCACGGAGCTCTAGCTGGAAGCACCCTAGCTCATCCAGGGCATCCTTGGTGGTTGAGGAGACATGGATCTTTAGAGCTGGGGTAGTGTAGGCCAGGAGCAGAGGGAGAAAGAAGTCAAAGACAAGGCAAGAGAAAAATTGACATGCTGGAGAGCACTTTCCCCGTCAGCCACCCCCCCCAGAAAGCCCCCAGTTCTCCCAGTGCACATTTATGGGAATCAATATATGCCCAAGGATGGGACACTAAAGAACTGACTACTCAACTGAGAGACAGGAGGAATTCTGCAAAGAGAAAAGAGCACCGAGAACAGCCTGGTCTACAAGAGCTAGTGCCAGGACTGCTTCCAAAGCCACAGAGAAACCCTGTCTCGAAAAACCAGAGAGAGACAGAGACAGAGACAGAGAGAGAGAGAGAGACAGACAGAGACAGAGACAGAGACAGAGAGAGAGAGTTAAAGGCTGCTGTCCTCACCTTGACCATTAGACTCCATTCGAGAAGCAGTGTTCACTGTGTCTCCAAAAAGACAGTACCGGGGCATCTTCAGACCAACAACCCCAGCACAGACCGGCCCTATAAAAACAAGCTGGTTGAGAGAGATCCAGACAAGTAGACACTAGGGCTGGATGAGAATTAGCCTTACCAGTATGGACGCCTATACGTAACCTCAGCTGGTCATGGGGTCGATGTCGGATGCGGAAGGAAGAAACAGCGTCTAGTAATGCTAGGGCCATGCGAGCAATTTCTGGTGCATGGCGCTGGCCATTTCGGCCTGGAAGGCCAGATACCACCATGTAGGCATCCCCAATGGTTTCCACCTGATTTAAAGGGAAGATTAAAAGGTCATCTGTAGGTTCAGTAGTTGGAACACTGGCTGCTCTTCCAGAGAACCTGAGTTCAGTTCTCAGCACTCACACAGCAGCTCAAATCCCTGTAACTCCAGTTCCAGGGGATATGACACCTTCTGGTCTCCATGGGCAACCGCACACACGTAGCATATAGTCACATAGATACACAAACTTTAATAAAACTATTTTTAAGAAGTCATCTCCAGCTATATCAGTGGGAATGAGAAAGAGATAAGATGTACACTGCCAGGAGCCATCCTAACAGCCTGGGACTAGCTCTTGTAGACCAGGCTGGCCAGATGGACTAGGAACGACATGCCATGGTCCTGAGGATCTGCAGCTAAGAGCAGGGCAGACAGGGAGCACGTAACTCCTCCTCAGTACCCCAGCACTGAATACTCAGTGGTAAGTGCTGAACAAGTGGACAGGAGCAGGATCCTAGTCAAAAGAACCCAAAGGCTCAAAGAAGGAAAGCAGGCTCAGTGGCATGGTCAGACAGCCTGACAGTCAGAGGTAGGACACAGCCACTGTACCAAACCTGTGGCACACAGAGAAATGTGTAGGGAACCATACTAAGTATTTAGGCATAAAGGGGAACTGTGTCTAAGACTTCCTCTCAAATGGTCCACATAATAATTATATAAGTTTAAAAAAATAGGACCTGGATTTTGTCAAGTATCAGAACAGATTAGCATGGGGAAAGCTATGGGTTTGATTCACAAGCACTCCAGGGACAGAGGAAGACAGACATCTGAAATAAAATGAAAAATAGAAATAACTGATGTAAAGAAATAATTGGGTATAGGGTTTATTGTCATTTTATTAGGGAAACATCAGAGAGGGTAGGGTAAGCTTCAAAATATCCTTATTTATGTTTAGATATAATCTCACTGTGTAGCCAAGGCTGACCTTAACCTCCTGATCCATCTGTCCCAACCTCCTAAATACTGGGATGATAGACAGGTGTCACCATGCCAAGCATCATTATTTGCCATATGCCACACTCAATGTTAGATACTTTTAAGAAATATGTCTCAGCCGGGCGGTGGTGGCACACGCCTTTAATCCCAGCACTCGGGAGGCAGAGGCAGGCGGATCTCTGTGAATTCGAGGCTAGGCTGGACCGACAGCCTCCAAAATAATACAGAGAAACCCTGTCTCGTAAAAAAACAAAAAAAGAAATATGTCTCACATTTATTTTTATGCACACGTGCACACACACACACACATACACACACACACACACCAGAAGACAACTTATGGGAGTTGGTTCTCCTATCATACATAGCAGGGATTGAACCTAAGTCCTCAGGCTTGGTGCCCTTACCCACTGAGCCATCTCACCAGCCCATCTGTTTTCATGTACCTAATCTATTACTGCAACGACTGAGGCTCAGAGAAACCCTGTACTTGTCTAAGGCCGCATAATTATCTATAAAATCGGTATTCAAATCTAGCACAGTTTTACTTCCAAGGACAATTAAGCCAACTCAATGACTTTAACAGAGAGCTGTGTAACATGTATTTGTTTCTTGCCCCTCACCCCATATCCTCTGGGAGGAATTAAAGCATGCATGGCTGTGATTAGGGAGCCCTGAGAACCACAGGTGTCAGACCCAGGTATCCATGTTTGCTAGAATCACATCCACTAAAGAACACTTGGATGATGGAGAAACCTGGGGAGCACTGACTGTGGAGTGGATATGGTATGTGGGGTCCAGGAAACCGTGTTTCAAACGGGTCTTAGAAGTAGGGGGCTCCCGCTCTCACCTTGTAGACATCAAAGTTGTCGATTATGGCATCAAAGCAGGTGTAAAGGTCATTAAGAAGAGTCACCACCTAACAGGATGGGAAAGCAGAGGCTCTGAAATTTGTGCCCACATTCCTAACCATTATAAAAGAACTCAGAGCAAACTAGTGCAGTGGGGCCCGGGACCCAGCGCCACCCGCGCCTGCCCACGGCTCCCACCTGCATGGGGGTGCTCTCAGCTGATAGCGCTGTGAAGCCCACGATGTCGCTGAAGTAGATGGTAACACTGTCAAAAGCCTCCGCCTGGACGGTCTCTCCCCGTTTTAACTGCTCTGCCACAGAACTAGGAAGAAAGGGGCACCATCAGTGCAGCTCCAGAGCAGGGGGAACGAGGAAGACGGTGTGCCTGCAGCACAGCTGAGCTGTAACATGAGATGTGGCCTTGGTGGGAGAAAAGGAGAGTAGCTGAGATGATGTTGCCTAGGGCACTGTGGGAAGCACAGTGGTGGGGAGCGTGAGGGGACCCCGCGGGGCTAAGCGCTCCGTTGGAATTGTTCTGCGCAGGCTCGCTGACCCAAAGGTGAGGAAGACTGCCCTAAGGAGGAAGGTCAACGAAGGCTGCACAGCTCATTTGAAGACACATTGAGAGCATTCAGCCTGTAACCAGGAGGGCTCACTGTGGCATGAATTAGCATCGTAGGGTTCCCAGGTTTGCAAAGGAATTCTCAGAAGTCAGATGAGGCAGGACCCAAGGAAATTTCGGAAGGGGGACAAAGTTCTTACTGGGGTAGAATTTGGTACAGCAGAGCCTCGGCTTTCCGTTTCTCCTCTAGGTAGGCCTGTGTGCGCTCCTCCACAAGCTTCTCCAGGTTATTGGCATACTGCTCCATGCGTAGCAAGAGGTTGTCCAATATGCTCGTACCACCCTCCCTGTGGGGGAGGCCAGGATATGACACCTGCGCCAGGGTTCTCAAGACTAACAGGACTTCCTGTCCACCCCACCCTCAGGGTCCACCAGCCTCATCCACTAAGAATAAGGTTTCTATCTCTGGGAGCCTCTGAGCCTCAGTGCCCTCTCACTTGTTAAACCGGCGAATGAAGCCCTTGATCTGCCCAAAGTCTGGACGTTCTGCTGGGTCCTGGGCCCAACATCTCTCCATCAGCAAAACTAGCTCTTCATTCAGTTGTGTCCGATCAATGCTTGGCCGGAAATATGGCCGCTGACCATTTCGAACCTTCTGGACAATCTCTGAGGGTGACAGAAAATCTGGATGAAGAACAAGGTTCCCCTAGTGGACGAGGCTGTGAATAGCACCTGACTCACCTTTGGGACTGAGATCCAAGCCTTCCAAGTAGAAAGGGCCACTGCGCAGCGCTATCTCCTGTAGGATGATGGCAAAGCTGTAGACATCTGCCTTCTGCATGCCTGTGGTTGGCAAGGAGTTGCCACTAAGCAGTTCTGGGGCAGTCCACAGCTTCTCTGCAAAGAGTGAATAGGCTGGCTAGGTTGTCTAAATAGGTGTTCCTGGGTTCTACCTAGGCTACTTACTGGTCTACCATGTTATTGTTACTGGTCTGCGTCTCACAGACTCCCTTGGGGGAATCCCCATGTTACTGCTACTAGTCTACCGCTCATAATCTCCCTGAGAGGAAGTGATCAAGGCCTGAAGAGCAATATAAAGGTAGGTGATGGGAATGGGGGAGGGAGGAGAGGGGGAGGGGGAGTGATGATGAAGGGAGCAGTCTCACTGGCATAGAGGGCATGGCTGTCATCGGGTTCAGCGGTTGATCGGAAGCTAGCCAGACCATAGTCTGTTATTTTGAGCACAAACCGACTATCCACCACACAATTGGAGGACTTGA